GACAACATATCATGTGTTACTTGGACTTCTTGCTCCGGCTCGACACTCTTGAGGTCTTGTGAGGCTTCTTCACCGCATGAAGACACAATGGACATACTTTCCATTAACTCGACCTCAAGTGCATCATCGCATTTGGATTCTCCATATAACTCAACGAGTTTGGTCCAAATGAGATGAGCACTCTTCGGAGGTGGTTGTCCATTGAATATTGCCTCATCTTGAACCTCTACACTCAATGTACTCAAAATGATATTAATAGCTTCAGCATTGAGTTGCACGCATATCTCTTCCTCTTTTGATAAATTCTTGTAGTTGCACCAATCAACTATAGGAAGAGGTATGCTTGCAAACACAATATGCTCAACAAGAGGACTAATATCTTTAAAAGCATTGAGTACATGAATTGACCAAGGTAGAAAGTTTGAACCATCATTTTGGAGAAGCACCGGCTCTAACTCGATAGGCGTCGACATCCTTTTCTCACGGCAGTGAAGCTTTAGGTGAGAACCTTGCTCTGATACCAATTGAAAGGACCTAGGATGCCGCCTAGAGGGGGGGTGAATAGGCGTTTCTGAAAATTAACACCTTTAAATGCGGAAATGATTAGTAAAAAGAGTTTCCAAAATGGAAACTCCAAATAAAGAGTAGTACCACCCATCGCAAGTTAGCCACAGAGTATATAAAAGATACTAAATGAATCTAGGAGCCAAACGCCTACAACCAAAGAGTTAGAACACAATACAATTCAGTTTGGCGTAGGGGCTAATACCGGATGTGTCCGGTAGGTATACCGGACGTGTCCAGTATTCACGACTTCAGTGGAATAGCCCCGAACTTGCTCCTTTTGATTTCTATCTTCAATCCAAACTGCAGGAAACTATTAGAGATAGTAATATACATAGAGAACCTGCAGAATAGCTAGAGCAACACAAATATCAAATGAAATACAAATTGAGACACGATATTTGTTTTACCGAAGTTCGGACTCGTTCGAGTCCTCTTCGTTGAGGGAGCTACGGGCGACCCAGCGAAGGTCAGCCCTAGAGGGTACCACGAAGGTCACTCTAGTCGGAGTCTTTTCCAACTCCTTTTCCTCCTTCCACTAAATGATTCCGAGACGGCGGAATCGGCCGTGACAAACTTTCCGAAGCAACCACAATCTCTTGGTTGCTCTCCGACGACGCCTAGCCGTCTAGGACCGAAGAGTCCAAGAGTAACAAATGCGAATCACGAGATTGACAATATGCACAAGTGCTCAAGTGGTGGCTTGCTCTCTTTTTCGAATTCTCTCTTAACCCACAAATTGATTTTGTAATTTGGATCACACACTCACTAAGAGAGGGTTTAGGAGAGTTGGCAAGGCTCAAAGACATGTGTCTATCTCAGTAGAATCAGCAGCCTCCAAAGGTGGAGGCTTGGGGGTATTTATAGCCCCCTTGAAAAACTAGCCGTTTTATAGCCGTTGCAATACCGGACACGTCCGGTATTCATACCGGACACGTCCGGTATGACTTACACTACGCCAACGGTAACTAAGTTACAGTCAATTTGTGAGGCGTCGGAACTCCCGATGAATGTCAGAACTTCCGACCGTCGGAACTCCCGACTCACGTCAGAACTCCCGACCCTCGGCATATTTGAAAACCATTGCAACCGAGTTAGAATATTTGAGGTGTCGGAACTCCCGATACATGTCGGAACTCCCGACACTCAGTACATTTAAAAACTGTTGTTGGCCTTTGGTCATCCATACCGGACACGTCCGGTATGACCACCACAGTGAACTCTCCAAATTATTTAAATTGCGAGTCGTCGGAACTCCTGACCATTGCCGGAACTTTTGACTGTCGGAACTCCCGACAAACGTCGGAACTCCCGACGAACCAACCCGAGAACAACACTTTTACAGTTACTGGGCAAATACCGGACACGTCCGGTATGCATACCGGACACGTCCGGTAGTCAGTTAGCTCTTTTGTCTCTCAAATACTCAAATACTCAAATCTCACATGGGTTGGCTTGAGCACTTATGAAACATTATCTATCAACATGATGCATCCCTCTTAATAGTACGGTATTCCTATTTACTCAAATTTAAAAGTATAACGAATTTAAACCTTTTGAGTTGCTCTTTTTGAACTGAAGCCGTGTATTCCAATCTTCATCAAGTGAGGGCACCAACATGTTGATATTGATCTTTTTCACTAGAGCATAGCCATTTTGAGCACGTGACTTGATTCCATTCATCATATTTGAATAATCCCAAATGTATCAAGTCACTTCCTTCAAACACTTCAATAGTGATTTGATCCTTTACATAAACATGGCCATCATAGCTTGATTAGTACCTCAACTAAATGCAAGTACTTTCTTCTTCACCCTAGCTAGGTTCTTCGGCTGCCAAGCCATTGCTTACCCTTCACCCTTGCTTAGTACCTCGAAGCCTTTCCTTGCTATCTTCACCATCTCAAGCCATCAAGTCACATCTTGTGTTGAATCATTCATTCATGTATTGTTATCTTTTTCATTTCAATTTTAGCAAGCTTCAAATTTGAGACCATTCCATATGCAAACCCTTATGTATCATTAATTAATTCTCACAAGCTTGCTTTTATATAGTATATAGAAATCCCACAATAAACAAGCCTTTGCATGAATTCTATTTGCATTGTTGTCTTGTGCTTGAACTATATTGTTTATACAACAACACATCATTTTGGCTTTTATTAAGTACCAATGAGATAACCTATCACCTGTCTACACTTAGCAAACGGGTTAGACCTTTAATCACGTTGTCATTCAATCATCCAAAACCCACTAAAGGGATAGATGCACTTTCACTTACCCATACCATCCAGCCTGCTCTTTTTATCCTTTTAAAGTATACTAGCAAACATGTCCGTGCGTTGCAACGGGATCCAATACGTAATAAGTTGTAGCACGGGTCATGAGTTCAAGTAAAAAACTAAACTAATTAGTAGTAAAAATATTTATTTGTTAAGAGTCAAGGATTAAAATTGTTGTGATCTCTTATTTATTGTTTGTTTTTACTTTATTATATTTATTAGAGTACGAAAAAACCAGGTGGAGAAAATAATGAAAACAAAATAAAAAAAGTCAAGCTAGTGTAAAAACATCGATGAGAAAAAAATCTGAGCATACTCGAAGCCAATTAAGTAGAAAACAGTCATGACAAAAATTGAAATGTACTCTTAAAAAGAAAAAATCAGAACATATTCGGAGCCCAGCGAAAAGCGTCGAATAAACGTAAAGCAACACGTACTGGGAGCAGGTAAAAACGGACAAACCGAAAAAGTAAAAAAAGAACAAAAAAGAAATGAAATAAAGAAATTATACTCTTCTTTCCTCTTTATTAGATTTCTATTCTTATATTTTTGTATTTGGATTAAGATTCCTATTTCGGTTACTCAGAGTTGCAGAAATCTAATTAGATTAAGATTCCTAGTTGTCTATATTATTATATTTTTTCTATCCTATTTGGATTAAGATTTCTATTCACCCGAAATCAGAGAAATCTAATTGGATTAGGATTCCTAGTTATATAAAGAGAAGGGCTCTTCAATATTTCAAAAAAGAAAATTTACCTCTTTTATTAATTACTAGCAAACATGCCCATGCGTTGCAACGGGATCCAATATGTAGTAAGTTGTAGCATGGGTCGTGAGTTCGAGTCAAAATTAAATTAATTAGTGGTAAAAATCTTTGTTTGTTAAGGAGTCAAAGATTAAAATGGTTGTGATATCTTATTTATTGTTTGTTTTACTCCTATTATATTTATTAGAATACGGAAAAACCAGCTAGAGAAAACAATGAAAACAAAATAAAAAAATCAAGCTAGTGTATAAACATCGTCGAGAAATAAATCTAAGCATACTCGAAGCTAATTAAGTAGAAAACAGTCATGGCAAAAATTGGAATGTACTTAAAAAAGAAAAACATATTCGGTGCCAAGCGAAAAACACCAAATAAACATAAAGCACACATAGTGGGAGCAAGTAAAAACGGACAAACCGGAAAAAGAAAGTGAAAAAGAATAGAAAAGAAACTAAATAAAGAAATTCTACCCTTCTTTCCTCTTAATTAGATTCCTATTCGTATATTTTTGCATTTGGATTAAGATTCCTATTCGGTTACTCGGAGTTGGAGATATCTAATTGGATTAAGATTCCTAATTATCTATATTATTATATTTTTTCTATTTAGACTAAGATTCATATTCACCCGAAATTGGAGAGACACGGAGTATAATTGGATTATGATTCCTAGTTATATAAAGAGAAGGGATATAGATGGTTTTCGACATTCACAAAGTTAGTTAAGAGGTGGTCGGACAAAAAAATAGATGGGAAAAATTTTTATATATATATATATATATATATATATATATATATATATATATATATATATATATATATATATATTAAAGATCCGCGGAGAGCACCTCTCGAATATATATTTGACAAAAGATCCAATGGAGATAACCTTACTCAAGACATGCTTGTTTATCCATCCGAGGAGTAATCTATACAAGGAAGGCATCAATCCATTCCCCTCTCTTAACTTTTTTTTTTCTGATCACATCACATAGCGCGTGTATATACACGGGAGAGAGATCGTGAAGAGATGGAATAAACAAGGAGAGCGACGTGGGCCTGTAATGGACCTAAATGCTGGTCCGTGGGCCTGTTACGTGAGTGGGCTGGGCTGGGGTGGCCCAGTGGGCAGAGCATGTCAGTCAAGAGAAAGAGAGGGGGTACTATAGACGTCTAGTCTAGTATAGAGAGGAGTTAAAATAGGAATAGAGAAGAGAGGCGCCGCATCCGGTACTGGTACTCGCAGTCGCAGTCGCAGTCGCAGTAGTGGCAGGCGCATCCGGCATCCCCCGCATCCCTCGGCTCGGAATCGGATCGCCGCCGCCGCCGCCGCCGAACGAAGCAGCAGTCCATCCTAACCCCAACCCAAACCCTAGCCAGCCAGCTATGGAGCCGCCCGCCGCCGCCGACTCCTCCTCGCCCGATCCGACGCCGCAGGACCAAGCCCCGGCCTCCCCGTCGCCGTCCCCGTCCCCTTCTCCCTCCGCCTCCCCGGCCAAGCGCTCCGCCTGGAAGCACCCCTCCCCCAACGGCCCCGCCGTCATGGACGTCAACCACTGGCCCGCGCTCTCCGACGCCGCCAAGGGTATCAAGCTTCCCGACTCCTCGGCTCCATCGCCTGCGCCCGTCGCCGCCCCATCGGTCAGATCTCTTCTCTTCTTCTTACTATTATTATTAGTTATTACTACTACTATATCCGATGATATGGGTTCCGATGACATGAGTTCCTAAGATATACTCGATTATGGATGCCCCATTCGATTCGATTTCCATCTCTAGGCCGTCGCCAACTCCTCCAGTTCGCAAAAGCACAGCGCCCATCACGGCCGCCACAAGTCCGCCAGGCGCAGTGGCGGTGGTGGTGGCGAGCACTCTCCACGAGACCATCCCGACCGGAGCGCTGCCGCTGGCTGGGACCATGCCGGTGGCGGCGGCGGGAGGGGTGCCCAGAGGAACCATAATAACGGAGGTGGCAGGAGGGGCAATGGTGGAGCTGCCTCTGGCACTGGGCCTTCTCATCATGGTTCTGGTGCCGGTGGTGGCAGCGGCGGAGGTGGAGGCTTTGGTGCTAGGCGAAGAGGGGCATACGAGCCGCCCTTCTATCGTGGCCCTCCACCACCAATGGGCATGGGCCACTACATGCGAGGTGCGCCGCCACCTCCGCCGCCGCCGCCCATGACTGTCGCTCCACAGTTCATGGGCCCTCCACCGCCACCAGTCTCGCCCATGCGCCCGTTTGCTGGACCAATGGTGTTCCATGGTAGGCTTGTTATCTATCTCGATGCTGCTGCTGCACCTGCAGCTCTGGTGCTCAAATTTTAGTCTGGGTTATTACTGCATTGATCTCTTGTCACCCATTGATTGTTTTTTTAATAATCTCCAGACATGCCATCTCCTGTGTCTCCTGTATCCCCCATATACTTTTATGGGCCACCACCACCAGAGGCTCTTAGGGGACTGGCTCTTGCGCCTCCTATGGTTGGTCCACCTGCTTATCCTTACTTTCAAGCCCAGCCTGAGACTGAACCTCAGCCTGATCCTGAGCCTGACGCGGAAGAGGAACGCGTCAAGCTGCTCAAGCAGATAGAGTTCTACTTCAGGTCTCCACATTGACCTACTCTTGCTATTCTTCAATTGGTTAAGGCTTAAGACTGTGCTTCTGTTGCTCATCATCATCTTCTTTGATCCACAGCAAGGAGAACCTATGCTCAGATGTGTACTTGAGGCAGCAGATGGATGGTCAGGGCTGGGTTGATATATCTCTTATAGCTGGCTTCAAAAAGGTGACCATATAACTACTTAACTCTTACTGCTTGCTGTAATGTCGAACATTGAACTTTTCAGTTGCTGGTTCATTGTTAGTGACCTTTGGGCCTTCGCTATCTACTATAGTAAAACATGTTTACATATACTCTTGCATTGTTTGATCGGGTAGTTTTAATGAGTTCCTACTTGCTGCATCTCCCATGTATGGAACAGCAGTTCTTCAACTTTTTTTTTGCTCCGAGATTGATAACAGTTTCCTGTTGAATGTAATGGTTTGTTACTGTAAGCTGCAATCTTTTTATTATTATAAGAACACACTCACGTGCATCACATGTTGGGGATCATCGTTTCATGTGTTTCAAATAGCAATGACCTTATTTATGTGTAATTGTTAAACTGTTTATATCAACTTTCTAGTTTCCTATATTATTGTGGTTGGACTGGTTTACGTGAAATTTTGTTCCTACTCTACTCAAAATCTACCTTTTGCAGCACAGTAGTAGTTTATTTTAGGAACCTGTTTATGCATTAACGAGCAGATTATCAGCGGAAACTGATCTTTTGGGTGATGTCGTCTTAAGCTTCCATGTGCTCTTCGCTATATGTGATCTGGATGGTTTCGACTTAACTTGAAAAGAACTGCTATGGGCCATATTATATTGGCTTGAACTTCTATACATGATATCCAAATCTACTTTCTGCATAACAGTAATTATTATCGGGACTTGTTTATGGGAAAATAATCAGTGTAAACTGATCTTTTGGGTGTTGGCATCTAATGCTTCAATGTGGTCTTAGCTGTATGTGATCTAAAATGTGTGTATTTTAATCTTTAGTGCATGAATCATGAATGGTCTAGTTTTGTGTCGATTTATACCATGCAGTATTGCATTGAATTCTGTTAGAATTAATAACAAACTTCTGTGACCCTACTAATTCTTGGCTTGTTAGGTTGTAGTCCCCATTGATCACTGGTTCATGGGGGTGATATTTGTTGCTCACCCTCTTTTAAAATGATTGTATTAATTGATATTGACCTCTGATTACGGTGATTGGAGATTTGCACCTGGTTCTAAAAGAATATATCTTTTTTTGTTGCTTATTTGATTTATTTTGACCTTTTATGATATTTGTGGATCATGCTTAAAGCGTCAAAGACATTGTTGTGTAGAATGTCACTTTTCTTTTTTATATAAGGTGGTCAATTTCTGCAGATATAGAAGTTGCATTTACATGTGCATGATGTTTGCGTTGTCACTCTATTTTTTTTCTTTTTCGTTTGGAGGTTAAAATCTCCACGAAAGATGACCCATTTGACCTAATGTGAAGCTGGGGAAACTAATTTTCACATCAATTTTGTAATTGGTGTATACAAACATGTGTTGTATTTCTGTTCCATCTTTATTTTACTTATTTTTGGGTGGGAGGGGGTTGTTATTCTGGGTTGGACGAGCAGACTTGCTTGCAGCCTGGTATGTTATGGTGTTTGGCATATTTCTGATTGCATGCTAAACTGCAGATTTTTTTATGGTCACTCTGAACATATTATGAGGCTGTGTAGCCTAAACACACAACTCAGCTTCAGTTAAACGTTCGCCTTTGCATACTAGGATCCTGGTAGTTACTTATTTCTGTAAATGGAGGGAATCGTTTGCTGATTGGAGTTGGAGTATAGGAATAAAAAACGAGAAAGTTAGTGTTCCATATTGAGATTGATGTGTTGGCTGAAGTTAGTGTTCCATATTGATCGTACTTGGCATTTCTGTATCCAATGGTCTGTATTACCTTTTCTTAGAATAACATGTTTGTACTTTGTTGTTTTTTTAAATTAACATCCATGAGAAAGTGCAGAACCATGAGTGGCTGCAAACTGATTATGAATACGTGAAGTTGCAGCAAATGATTGTGTGCAGATAATGTAGGTAACTAAATGGGCTATATGGAGTGTCATTTATAGTGGAATTAGGTATTGGTTTCAAGGTGTTTTCTGTTTCTTAGAAGTTGAAAGTATGACAAGGATTTATAGTTTGATAGATATCATGAGCTGAGGCCTTCTACACTTGATATTTAAACACGCTGTGTGCAACTTACATATTTTGTTCTTGTGAATTAGAAATGGCGCAGCCTATGATCTATAGAGTGTTTGTGCTGGGGATGAGTTGATTTGGTTTTCTTGTGTGTACAAAAGGTCAGATCTATTATTTTAAATTAATCCATTTGACAGTCGACGGAAGGTTCATTGCTACTTGCATTCCTGTATAAATCTGCTATTTGGGAATTACAGTGCTACCACTTATTTCTATTGATGATTTATGTGGCATAGTTGTCACAACGATGTCTAGGCATCCTGTTGGTTCTTGTCTGTGGGTTCATGCTATGATCCGGTACCTTTCTGCCCTATCTTGCTTCCTCTGGTCCTGTTGAATGTTTGTGTCTATGCACCTTATCTACAGGCATCATCCCCACCTTGCCACTAGTCCAACCTTCTGTACGAAGCACTTAAGGAAAGCTAGGGCGCTACTTAAGACATGATATGTTTCATCATGAGTATGTTTGAGGAGTGTATTAACTATGCTGGGCACTGTTTTCTGCAGGTCCAAGGGCTGAAGAAGGACCTACAATATATAAAAGAGACGGTGCAGTCCTCATCTATACTGGAAATGAAGGTATATTCTGTCGTTTAGCTTTAGTCTCAGCAAAATACGGTGCTCTATTGATTCCCGCAGTCTGCAGATAATCATTTTACAAGTAATGTGTCCATGCTTTCCATGCTTTACCCTCATCACGAGAGCTGCAAAATTTTTTATGCATCGGTGTAATTAATTCCCCTTGGTTTTTGCTTTCAAATTTGTGCCATCCTTGAGGTTAAATTCCATACCTAGATATGTTAGGCATTTGTGTTTTTTTTTTTGATGCCTGAGCCTGAATGATTTGGACCTTTGAGATCTGAAATTTATTGTGCTTATATAGTTTGCTGTGTCTGTTAATGCAGGATGACAAAATCAGGAAGCACAACGACTGGGAGAAATGGGTGATCCCTCGTGAGAGCAATCCTGATGCCCCGTCAAGCTCAGCGTCTGTACCGAGACCTAATGTCAATAATCTGACAGCACATCTTGGAGGCATGCGTCTGCATGAATCCGCTAGCTCTACTGGCCCGGTGGAGCCGAACCATCACAATGTCATCCAGAACGGATCGCCTTCTGGTAATGAAGAGGCTCGAGTAGCTGAAGAAAGTTCTGGTCATCAGTAGTTACAATAAGACAGTGGCTCGGATTCACACCATGACTGCAGGGGTTTTGTCCATGCGTGAGTGACAGAGCACAAGTGATATTTTTTTGGCAATTTTTGGAGGGGAGGCGTATTAGACTGACAAGCGAATGTGTTTACTGGCGGTCAGGTAAGATTTTGCTTTACCTTGTTATATTCAGAAGTAGTGTTGAAGATTTGGGTCAGTTGGTGAAAAGGATGAAGCAGATAGTGGAATGCGAAGGTGGGTGGTATCTGGAGGCGCCTATGACGAGGAGGAAAACCATGAAAGACTGAAACAAAATTATGAAAGACGAGCGTGATAAGTTAGTAGCCCATGGGCGGCTGTGTGGGCAGATGGCTTGGTAAGCGAGCTCAAAATATCCTTGTTTACTGGGGTGGGTTTGCACAGGGGGCTTGGATGCTATTCTGGTGTTACGATGAACTAGATGGTTTTCCTCGGCGTTAGGATGGTTGTTGTAGGACCTCCGATTTTTGATGGAGGAGCTGAACTTTCTCACTTGTAGAGTCAGGGAGTTTGACTTGTTTTGTTTTTGTGGTGGTGTTAAATTAAAGTAAGAGATGCTGTTAGCTAGTCTTGCTCCCTGTTCATTCTGCTGTGCTGGCCTTTCATGGTGGGCTGCATGCTTTGAATGATGGAGATTGATAGCTGTCCTTGGGTCTATGCTATGGTGGCCTGACTTCCTGACTGGATAGCATAGGAGGAGAGGAGCGACCGGATTGTGCCAGTATTCTCTTTGTCACTGGTCCTGGTACATCCGTTTGCAGCGGCAGTATTCTCCGTAGTCGGTCTGGATATGGGTGGATCCGCAGCGGCAGCATGTGTCCTTGTTTGGCAGGCCTGGGACTGGGACAGCCGAAGGAAAGACGAAGGCACCCTACCATTAGGCTGTGCCCGGTCTGCAGCACCTGTGCACCAACAGCAGACTTCGTACGTAAAACTAAAACCTCGCAGCAGTAAGCACTGATTTGCTCATCCATGTTGGTACCGGGCAGTAGGTGCTGCCATCATGGACGTACCTACATTACCTTTGCCTCTTGGGCTCTGTTTGGCAAAGCGTATGTGATGGTGGCTAGAGCGTTTCTGCTCATCGACCCATGGCGCTCTGAATCGTCGTCGTCGCCGTTTACTAGACGGGTATAGGTCCCTGTCAGCTGCCATGTGAGCGCCGCATCCATAAATCAATCACTGTGCATTGTCAAAAAAAAAACCATCATCGTGCGCCACGGAAAACTACAAAACCGATATGCCATGATAGTTTATATATATATATATATATGTCAGTTTAGATTGAAAGTCATATTATTGTTAATATTCAATCCAATCTATTGGTTTTTCGCATCCATCTTTTCAAACCAAACGAAGCATGCATGCAGTATGACCTATGGGTAGTTGTCTCTGCCTCTCTGGAGCTAATATCACCAGGTAGTCAAGTCTGAAATATATAGATGCGACGCCATTAACTAATTAATTCGCCGTCGTCCATAACACATCAGAGATTCAGAGGGGATGTGGATGGCGATGCACCCATATATGGCACGCATCTGCCCGCATGCATGATGCATCCTCTCATCAATTAGTAACACTTGTATGACTGTTTGAGTGATGGAATAACTACAAAATTTGCTAATTAGGCAACTCCCAGTGGTCAGTATCCATCCTAGCTGCTACACGTTAATATAAATGCAAATGATCTGTCACGGACGATTTTTTTAAATTGGTTCTGTGTTAGATTAATAATATAATACTCTAATAAGGAGACAGAGAAGAAAGCACATGACATCTTATAACAATTATTAATTGCCTTGTTTTCATTCATCATATAATATATGCCCTGGGCTATGTAAGCTTTTCGATTTGTGATAATAAACAAATGATCGAATATATAGTTGGCTGCATGCAACACAGATTTTAAATTTATTGGTAACATATATACCTAGCCACACCCTCCCCCTCCATAAATAAAAAGGTGCAATTGTAGCCTTAATTACCCCAGGTCAATCAATAGTAATTAAATTTGACAAAATCTATTAAAAAAGTATTGACATTTGTAATATTAAATAATTATCTCTACTATAGACCTATTTCCAGACATAGACGTTGATACTGCTTCCTGTGAGCTTAGCTAAATTTAAGAAAGTTTGACTTAGTTGAAATCTACAATTGCACTTTTTATGAGACGACAAGGATGTATCTTATATTCTTATTAGATGTTCCTTTAATATGCATACTTAGACTTAGGTGGCATGCATATAAATGTGTTACTTGTCTTAAACTTAACAAACAGTAGATACCCAGATAATTATTCTTTCTAATGTACTTCTAGCTTCATGCATGCCTTGTTGATTCAATTCCTCAAAAAAGAAAAGAGGAAAAAAAAGGAAAAAGGGAAATTAATATGGCGGGTGCGCATGCAGTTGGGTGTCAAGCTGTCATGCGCATATGCTGATGTACCGAGGTCTCACTCTCAACCGCCTGTTACGTACGTGTCAGCATCTGCTACCCAATAACAATAATCACAAAATTCTTCTTGTTGGTTTCAAAGAAAAGGGCCGAGGATTAATTGTATATTTGTGTTAATCGCGCGCGCGCGCATATATATATATATATATATATATATATATATATATATATATATATATATATATATATATATATATATATATATATATATATATATATATATGCAATGATATATAGGTACGTGCGTGACGAAGCTAGTTGCATGCAACCGGATGAATGAATGAATTAATTGTGGCAGGCATGCAGCAGGTCGCTATAGCTAGCTAGCTCAAGCTCAACAGTACTCTATATCAGTAGAGCGACCTGTCGTCCGGGTCGATCTCTCGCAACAGTACTGCTAGCTAATAATACGGTTAGCTTTAATGTCGTCGTTTCAACCAATGCATGCATGTGTCATCAGTCGCACGCAGGTACGTACGGTTAGCAGGGCAATGGCAATGCAACCACCATGATGTATATTTGTTTGTGTGTGGAGTATATAATTTCGTTTATGGGTTTCAATGAAGATTTATTAATTAATTAATAATATTTTTCTTTTATAATAAATCAATATTAATCGGCAGAATCCGACCGAATAAGCAGAGAGGGCAGTGCACACGCAGGTACTCCTACGTCGCTAGCTAGGCAGCTGCAGGGCGTTGTTGCTTTTGCTTCCTTTGCTGGCCGGAATAGCTGGCTACTGTAGCTAGCTGTCGGCGTCCTCCACCACCTGCAGGCTGCAGATAGATGAGTACTGCTCTGCCACCAGGCATCGCAGCAGCTAGCTAGTAGATAGGAATTGGTAGCAGCTAGCTAGGCCACCATGACTCCTCCGACGCCGCTCCTCCTCCTGCTGCTGCTGCTGCTGCTGCTGGCGGCGGCGGCGACGAGGTGCTGCCATGGGTCGTCCTACTCATCGTACCAGCAGCAACAGTACAAGATGAACGAGTCGCAGCCGGAAGGGGAGGGCCGCCGCCCGGCGGTGACGGCGGTGATCGTGTTCGGCGACTCCATTGTTGACCCGGGGAACAACAACGACCTGCACACGATGATCAAGGCCAACCATCCGCCCTACGGCAAGGACTTCTTCAACCACGAGGCCACCGGACGCTACTCCAACGGACTCATTCCCAGCGACCTCATTGGTACGTAGGGGATGTACTCCCATTTCCTTCTCTCCTGTGTTCACTTGTTGTTGCATGGTTGGCTTTCTCTTTTCTTTTCTCTCGATCAAATTGGTTGGCTTCTTCAATTCCCACTGCACTGCGGGGCCTTAACTTGCAAGAGGGTCAAGGGCCTTGACATGCACTGAAAAAAATTGTTCCTTCAGGAGCCGATCGATCGATCGATGAGACGAAGGAACACATGCACCACCATGCCGACATGGTCATGCATCATTTCCAATAACTAACAGAGGACTTTAATTTCCTCGAGTCAAGGATAAGCTATTACTGTAGTATATGCACGTATAATACTCCTATACATAGAGGAGTAGTAATACTCGCTATGTATATGCGATCGGTCCACACTGAATCGATTACTAATTTATAACAACGTATGTACGTACGTTTCAGTAGTATAGTATACTATATACATGCATATATTCGGTGCTCCCTCCCTTCTCTTTTATATACAAGGCACGGCTTGACGTGACACAACCTTTTTAATTACACTTTGATCACATATTTATTTTATTTTTATATTATTTATTCTTATAAACTTATAATAATTAGATAAAAGATTTAATTATGAATCTAACCGTATCAAGTTTGTGTTATAATGATTAAAAATTATTAGTCAAATATTTTGAATCTTGATATGTGTGCGCGCCTTAATTATAAAAAAGAATGGAGGTAGTATCTAGCAGTGCAGACAACGTCGCCGTTATGGTTTCAGTGTCGCTAGCTGCTCTGTCTTTGTGCTTGTTGCGCGCGTGCACACACATGCATCGATCTGCAGGCCGATTATTAATACTCCCTCCGCTCAAAAATGGTAATCATATTAGACCAAAGAAAAATTCATAGAAAATAGATTTTAACCATTAATATCTCTTATAATACAAAGATCTGCTTATAGGCATGTTTAACAGAAATCTCTATGCTGTAAACATTCATACGTCTTGACTAATTGTTGGTCAAAACTTATAGAGTTTGACTATTTTCTGGTTAAATACAATTACCATTTCTGAACGGAATAATTTGTTGCTTGACGCGGAGCTGGTCGGGCCGATGGAATATGTGGAGCTAGCTAGGTGGTACTATGCTAAAATTTGGTCCAAATTAAAGTAAAACTATACAGTAAATGATGGTTGAGCTGCCTATAAAGTTATAATAAGGTGTTGTATATGAACCATTGCACGCGCCGATAATTTACTAGTTTTAATTACATTTAATTTAAGATGGGCAACTCCGATGGACTCTGAATTATCCTGCTAACTAGGGCAAGCCGACGGTTGTGGGCCGCCGGCCGGCGAGGTTGTTGGCTCACATGCATGATCTAGTAATAGTAGTGACGACTAGCTAGCCATGCATGGGATTGGAGACTATATATATATACTGGCGGTGATGCAGTTGGCGGGCGCGCTGGGCGTCTGATAGATTGCATAATTCATGCGGCGCGCGTTGGGTGGTGGCATGCAGAGAGAGGACCGTTGCCGTCGGTACTACGGTGACGCCGACGGTGAGCATCGTCTTTACTTGTCATGACGACACGCATAAACTACATATTGCTAGTAAGACGCAGACAGCAGATCGAGGGCCGGGTTACGTATATGAACTAGTATATACGTATGTCCTATTAATTAATTTGGCAAACTGTAAGGTAATGAATTTTATGATTAGCTAGCTATATATAAAGTACAGACAATTATATATACATTTCCTGTACGCGTGTAATCGTGTGTATAGTAGTGCTTTGATGATCTCATAATATATAAACGTCGTCATTGATCGGAGGCATGCAGCTTGCGTGCATCCCCCAATATATGCGTTGAAGCAACAATATAATGGTGGTGTCGTAACGGGCAACATGTGTATGTTATGCATCGCGTGTACCCATGCACTCGGGGCGGGGTGCCGTTGCTCCGATCCGTAGGAAAAAATATAAAATAAAAACCTCAACCCGTGGGGGTAAGACAGCCACGAGCATCGTGTTTAAGAAGAAGATATTCTCGTGTAGATCGAGAAAATCTGTGAACCTCTGTCCTACCCATACACAGCGGCATCGTAACTCCCGTGAGGGATTTCAACGCGCAGATAAACTGCTGCCTCCTCCAGACAGCAAATCCGCCTCAAGGGGGTTCAAACTCTGGTCGCCAGGGTGTCGAGGCACAGCCAGACCAACTGGTCTAGCGTTCGCTTGCCGGGAAAAAATTAAAAGATATATTTGTAATACTCAAAAATTAAATGGTGCATATTATTCACAAAAGAAAGTTACGTTGGCAATACATATATACAAGCAGCCAACTACGACATACGGAGTACTCTATATAGTACACTGCCTTTTCTAGTTTGTACTACGTACGGTACGAGTACTATGAACGTGTGCAGGATCGGAGCATGCATGCAGCTGCAGTGCAGACAGCTTTTAATAATAAGGGCATGTTTGTTCTTAGTCACTTTAGTTATTAAACTTCTAGATAAACTGACTAACGCCTTGTTCACTTTGTAAATCTTTTTAACCCGATGAATAGTATCACTTTCGTCTTATTTAGCAAATATTGTCCAATCGTGGACCAACTAGGCTCAAAAGATTCATCTCGTGATTTCCAATTAAACTGTGTAATTAGTTATTTTTTTATCTACATTTAATACTTTATATAAACGACTAAAAATTGATGTGATAGAGAGAGTGAAAAAACTTAAAATTTCACCTTAAATAGTTTAGTCACGGTACGACACGTACAACGCATGTTGTGATACTGTCTGTACGCACTAAACGATGCAAATTTGCCTGATTAAATGAAGAAAGAGAACCTGGCCATCGTCTAGCGAGGCGCCGGCCGTGGCTCGTGCTCCGAGGCTCATATTCTCGTTGTACAGATACAAGCGCGCGTTTAGTTCAAAAACTTTTCAAAAAGTGTTACAGGAGCTATCATATCGAATCTTGTGATATGTGCATAGAGTATTAAATATAGACAAAAAAAAACTAATTGCACAGTTTTGTTGGAAATCGCGAGACAAACGTTTTGAGCCTAATTAGTTCATGATTGAACACTAATTGCTAAATAAAAACAAAAATGATACAGTAGCTAAATTCCCAACTTTCTCCCGACTAAACACAGCCCAAGCTAAAATCCGCCCATGGCAAGCTGATAATCTTCCTTTGCACACCTGCTGGCTGCAGTGATATCCCATCAATCAAATCATCCTCAAATTGAAATGCTTGTGGACTCTCAAATAAAAATAAATGCTCTTGTTTGTACTTGATCAACAAATTTTTTATCCGGTCACTAAATATAAAATAGAATCTCTCAAACTTTATTTTTGATTCAGGAGCAGAAAAGTTTATATTATATAGATAAATATATTACTATATTATTTATTTTGATGGTTCTAAAATATTGTATTATGTTTATATGTTTATCTTATTGATGCTCGATTTATTTTGTATTAAGAAGCAACACAATTATATTCATGTTTGATCTTGGTTATATGTAAGTATTAAAAAGTTTGTAGACGTCTAAATAAATAACCTATTATATAAGTTGTTTATTAAGTTGTCTATTATATATAAATATACTAATATATCATTTATATTCATGGTTTTAAAAAATATTGCAACCATGGTCACCTTGTTTATGTCTGATCTTTTTATCAATGAGCAGTACAGTGGTATACATGAATCATATTTACACTTGATCATGGTTATATGCAGACATTAAAGAATTAATAGATAGCTAAACAGACAGTCCACTGTATGCACTGTCTGTTTAGCTATCTGTATGTGTTGTGACATCATCATACAGACAGTACATGTCCTTAGTCACCCAAGAGTAGCTAACAGTGGGCTAAAGTGCCCAGTGGACTACCCCTCATTATTGTTGGTCCACAACCCTAATTTGCGTATTCATTAGGGATAGTTTGGCCTTGGTTGAACTGTTTTAATGGCCTTTAGTCACTTTTAGTCGCTGGAACCAAACAGAAAGGACTAAAGTTTAGTCACTAGTTTTAGTAGCTAAATTTTAGTCAAGGGGAAGGAGGACATATAGATAGAGCATGCCGTGCAGTTTAAATAAGGCCTGTTTGATGCATTATAGGGCTAACCAAGTAATTTTTAGTTCAAATTAGTTCTAGACCATTCAAACAGGACTATAGCCAGTAAGTGGGCTAATTTATTAGCCGAATCTATAACTACTCTCTCTGTCCTTAAATAAATAGATTTTTAGAGTTGTCTTAAGTTAAACTTTTTAAACTTTGACTAAAATTCTAGAAAAAACCCGTCAAGATTTGTGACATCAAATTAAATAGTACCATTAGATATACCATATAATATATTTTCATAATGTGCTCATTTTATGTCATTAAAGTTATTACCATTTCCTACAAAATTAGTTAAATTTAAGATATATAGTTTGACTTGCACGGATTTTAGAAGTTAATTTATCTGGGGATGGATGGAGTAGTTGTTAACTAACTAGCTGGTCAACCCTAGCTAATTTAGACTAATTTTTAGCTTCAACCATTAACTAGCCTTAGAGCATCTCTAGCAATGCCCCCTACTTGACCCCCTACTCCAGCAGACCCTACATTTGTTGGCCTCCTATTTTCCCCCTCCCACCCTCTATTCCTGTTGGCCCCTACTCCACCATGCAATTTTCCCCTTCTTCATTCTCTGACTTGATCATGCGAGCCTCGACCGCCTCGGCCTTGATGGCATGGCCCCTGCCCAATGGGCTACCTCACAGTCGATCCAGGCCCTCCCTGGCGGCGGCGTTGCCCCGACGCGGTGCCCTGCTTCTTCCTCGCGCGGCCGTCCGATAGAGCGGCCTGCCCCGGCGGTAGTCAGTGCCAAGCCCCCGTGGGCGAGGCTCCCTGCATGCTAGCTAGCCTCACTGCCTACCCTCCCGTGCGATGCGACTCCCCTCTGGCTCGATGCAGCTCCCCTCCGGCGTGGCAGCCCCGGCACGAGGCTCCCCAGCACGGCTGCCAGGCGCGGCCTCCCCTCCCCTCCGCGGCGCCGCCCCTCCCCGCCGAGGCTCATCGGCGGCGCAGCCCTGCCCTGCTTCGTTCGTCCGTGGAAGAAGAACATAACAGAGGATGACATATAGGTCCCACGTGTCATTCTCACCTACAATGAATTTGGGTAGTCTGTTTTAGGTAGTGTTGCTGGAGAAAACAACGAAATTTGGATAGTATAAAGTTGGTAGCTAACTAAATAAAGAAGTATGGTGTGTGTGTTTTAGGTAAACATGCCTTAAATCAATGTCTACAGTTACTCCTGCGGGAGCGAATGTCCGACTACTACTCCATCCACAAAGTTGGATGTTCTCTCCGTGTAAAAATTATTCCAATAAATTACACTATCTCCAACTTAACTCATTTACAGAGAACAGTATACCAACATAAATAATTACACTATGAAAACATATATCTTATATACATCCTAGTGGTTACTGCTCTGTTCTATAAATTTAGTCAAATTGAAGAAAAGTTTGGCTTAAGACAACTCTAGAATCTGATTTAATTTGAAATAGAGGTAGAATATATAAGAGTGCATATATCTATACTATTTCAGTGCATCAACTCTGCTGTTCTTTATTTATTTACCCTCCGCATCAAGTAGCATCCACATTCCACAATAGTGTTCAATTAAAGTAACTCGTACCTCAAACCTCCTTGTTCATAAATACACTCCTCCTTGTTTTTTTTTCACATGCATTCTAGCTATATATAAGCAGTAGTAAAAAGTGTCCAATACTAATTACTAGTCATGCACGGGTTATGCAAATATCGTACTCCTACATACATATAACATAGTATATATAACGATGATGGGTTAGAATGCTACACTGTATATATATTTACGATCTTGCATGTAGATAACAGATTGATTTGTTGATTTGCATTGTGCATGCAGCACAGCAGCTTGGTGTGAAGCAGCTGCTGCCAGCCTACCTGGGCGTGGATCTGAGCCCGGAGGATCTGCTCACAGGCGTCAGCTTCGCGTCCGGCGCCACCGGATTCGACCCGCTGACGCCCGTCGTAGTGAGCGTGATCTCGCTGGATCAGCAGCTGGCCTACTTCGACGAGTACCGCGGGAAGCTGGTGGACATCGCCGGCGAGGAGGAGACGGCGAGGATCATCGACGGCGCGCTGTTCGTGGTGTGCGCGGGCACCGACGACGTGGCCAACACCTACTTCACGACGCCGTTCCGCAGCGTGGAGTACGACATCCCCAGCTACGTGGAGCTGCTGGTGAGCGGCGCCGAGGAGTTCCTCCGCAAGGTCAGCGCCAGGGGCGCCAGGAAGATCGGCTTCGTGGGGATGCCGCCGGTGGGGTGCGTGCCGTCGCAGCGGACGCTGGGAGGGGGGCTCGCCAGGGCGTGCGAGCCCAAGCGGAATGAGGCGGCGCAGCTGTACAACGCCAGGATCCAGGAGATGATCGCCGGGCTGAACGCGGAGGCCGGGTTCACGACGCTAGTGGTGTTCCTGGACATCTACCGCATCCTGGACGACCTCATGGAGCGCGGGGACAGGTACGGCTTCTCCGAGACCACCAGGGGCTGCTGCGGCACCGGCACCATCGAGGTCACCGGACTCTGCGACTCCCGCTTCGTCTCCGTCTGCGACGACGTCTGCCAGCACGTCTTCTTCGACAGCTACCACCCCACCGAGCGAGCCTACAGGATCATCGTCAAGGACATGTTTGACAACTACGGCCAAGTGCTCTTCTGATCGATGATGTGACTCGATGATAAGATCCATCTGCATTGTTGTTGGTGTGTAACCCTGCCAACACTGACAGTGAAGGCATTCAGTGGGGAAGGCGTAAGTGAGCAGAGCGGGAAGGCTTCAGTTTGAATGTTGAACGCCAGAGTGGAGATGCAGTTGCGGTGACCACACCCACGACGCGTTACTCTTTGCAGTGTGTGTTTTCAGAGTCATGTATCTTTGTTTAGTGGTTGTATTAGCTAAAGTGTGTGTGCTAGACTACTGGTATAAGTAGCTGGGAGTTCCTTAAGTCGTGTCATCGCAGGAACCACCGGTCAGGCGCATTGTATCGTGAACCATTTGAGTGAAAAAGGGCACTGTCTCCTGGCGACCTCCGGACAGTTGCTTCATGTGTACTCTGTGTTCATCGTTTGTTCTTGCATTCATCATTCTTGTTGATCGATCTAGCCACCATACAGCGAGTAATTGAGATCCTTTGCTAACATCTGGTATAAGAGCCTCTTTACTCGTGGAGACATCCACATATCGTGTCATCGGGGGAGAGGGAGCACGAGGCGGCGGGGAGACGCGACAAGTGTATCCTCCACTGACGAGCACGAATTACACCAGTTGGTGTATTCGGGTGCTGGCAATCATGGAAGATCAGGGGGTGTGGGAGGTGGTGGAGCCGAAGGCGGGGACGTCGACCTTGTCTGCGGCGGATGCGGCAAAAGCAACCGCCAAGGACAAGAAGGTGCGAGCGCATCTCCTACAGTGCTTGTCCGATGACTTGCTGATGCAAGTTGCAAAGAAGAAAACTGGGAAGGAGGTGTGGGATTCCCTGAAGGCGCGCTTCGTTGGAGCAGATCGGGTGAAGGATGCGCGGTTGCAGACGCTCAAGAGCGAGTTTGATGCCATCCGAATGTAGGATGACGAGTCACTTGACCAAATTGTTGGAAAACTGACGGCAATGTCGGTCAAGTACAACAGTTTGGGGGGAGCCTGGATGATGTTGCGTTGGGGAAGAAATTGTTTCATATCGTGCCCGATTGATACCTCAATGCCGTGGCCGGTATCAAACTATTTTATGACCTAAAGACGTTGGCGTTTGATGAGGCAGTGGGGCATCTGAAGGTGTTCGTGGAGCGCACGCGGCGGGGAGCTGGCGGCGCGAGATCAGAAGGTGGGCAGGTGTTGCTCACACAGGCGGAGTGGGAAGCCAGACAGAAGAACTCGGGGGGCGATTTGTCCGGGAAGGGAGGAAGCAAGACGGAGGGCATGGCCGTGGACGTGGCCGTGGCGGTGGTAGTGGTGGCCACGGCGGTGGTGGTGACGCCGGCAAGGTGGGCGCGGGGAAACGTGACAAGAGTCACATAAAGTGCTTCAAGTGCCACAAGTACGGGCACTACGCCAATAGGTGCCCGGGTGAGAAGAAGGAAGAGGAGGGGCACTGTGTGAAGGCGGAGGAGAAGGAGCCGACGGTGCTGCTCGTGGAAACGGCAGCGCCGGGACTGCTCGAGCACCCACCAAGAAGCCAAGTTTAGAGGGTGTTTCTGAATGAGGCAAAGATTGTGCCTGAACTCCATTTGTCTTATGGTGGTGATCCATTAGGCAACATTTGGTACCTGGACAATGGAGCCAACAACCACATGATGGGTGATTTGCAAAAGTTCAGAGATCCGGATCGTGCTGTTTATGGCAAGGTGAGGTTTGGCGATGACTCTACTGTTGAAATTCAAGGTAGAGGTACAATTATGTTTCAAGGAAAATATGGTGATCAATGGGTGCTTTCTGATGTTTATTACATTCCCAAACTTAGAAGCAATCTTGTTAGTCTTGGTCAACTGATAGAAATTGGGCATAGAATTGTTCTAGATGATGATGTGCTAGAAGTTTTGGAAAAACAACCAATAAGATTGATCATGAGAGTTCCTAGAACACTGAACAGATTGTACAAGATAGAGTTAAAACCAGTAGAGCCTAAATGTTTGATAGCAAGCATTGGGAACCAAGCTTGGTTGTGGCATGGCAGGCTTGGGCATGTCATCTTTAGATCTCTGAAACAGTTGGTGAGTAAGGAGATGGCTACTAGGGTGCCTGACATTAATCACCCAGAGTAGGTGTGTAGTAACTGTCTAGCAGCTAAGCATACAAGATCACCATTTCCTAAGGCAACAAAGTGGCACTCTAAAGAAAAACTCAATCTGGTGTATGTTGATTTGTGTGAACCAATAACACCAGCAACAGCAGGTGGAAATAGGTACTTCGTGTAGTTGGTTGATGATCACTCTAGGTGGATGCAGGTATTTTTGTTGAAAAACAAAGATTAGGCATGTGATGCTCTTGTGTCATGATATCACCTAGTACTTGGTTAGGGATGAGTTGCTTCAATCCTCCTCTAATGATGATCAATCTCAATGTCTCAAATCTTGGAGGCAAGCACATCAAGAACTGATGAGAAACATCATCATCATTGATCTTCTCTCCCAAAGCCTTCAAGTCATTGACAATTACTTGCAATATATGAAACATCTCCGGAATGCTCTCATCATCCTTCATCTTGAAGCTTATCAACTTGTACTTGAGAATGTATAGCTTGGCACTCTTCACCGCCGGTGTGCCCTCATATGTCTTCTCCAATCTCTTCCACACCTCACTAGCCTTCTCACAATCCTTGATTTTCTCAAACACCTTAGAATCAATGGCATTGTAGATGGTGTTGAGAGCCATTATGTTGCATTGCTTGTTGGTCTTGTCTTAGTTGGTGAGATTGGTGGGATCAAGAATCACATACTCTTGCTCACATTCCACACTTGATCATTGATTGAACCAAGATACATCTTCATATTTCTCTTCAATAATCATAGCGTGTGCCATCAAAGAATGGTGGTTTGTCCCCCATATGGTTGAACACAACTTGAGCCATCTTTTGACACTGAGGTTGTTAAGCCTTCAATCAAACAGTGACCACGGCTCTGATACCACTTGAAAGGTCCTAATATGGCTAGAGGAGGGTGAATAGCCTATTTAAAAAATCAACAAACCAACTTGAGCAATTTGATTAGTATGACAAATAATGAAATACAAACTTATTTTAGCTCTACAAGGGCTGCAAGCCACATATCCAACAATTTTAGTTGATATGATCACTAGGCACACAAGAGACTATGTTGCTACTCACTAAGAGCTCTCAAATTTGCTACACTAAAGAGCTCCACTAGATGAACTTAAACTACAAAGCAAGCTCTCAATTCTAGTTACACTAAAGAGCTTGCTACAACTAGTTTGCGGGAATGTAAATGAGTGGGTAGGGTGATTATACCGCCACATAGAGGAGTAAACCAATCACAAGATGAATATCAATTCAATCACTGAGAGAATACCAAAGGGCAAGAGACAACCAATTTTCTCCCGAGGTTCACGTGCTTACCGGTACGCTAGTCCCCGTTGTGTCGACCAACACTTGGTGGTTCAGCGGCTAAGAGGTGTTGCACGAACCTCATCCACACAATTAGACACCGCAAGAACCTATCCACAAGTGAGGTAACTCAATGACATGAGCAATCCACTAGAGTTACCTTTCGGCTCTTCACCGGGGAAGGCATAAGACCCCTCACAATCATCAGGAGATGGCCACGGACAATCACCAACTCGTGCCAATCCTCCTTGTGAAGGCATAAGACCCCTCACAATCATCAGGAGATGGCCACGGACAATCACCAACTCGTGCCAATCCTCCTCCGCTGCTCCAAGCTGTCTAGATGGCAGCAACCACCAAGAGCAACAAGAAATCCACAGCCACAACGATTCCTAAGTGCCACTAGATGCAATCACTCAAGCAAATGCACTTGGAGATGATGAATCAATGATGGAGATGAGTGGGAGATGTTTGCTTAGGCTCACAAGGATGTCAAGTATGTCAAAGTGCCAAGAGAGTGAGCCTAGGGCCAGCCAAAACGTATTTATAGGCGCCCCCTCGAAATAGAACCGTTCGCCAGCCGCGAGCTGACTGGACGCACCTGACCGGACACTGCTCCGCGTCAGGTCGCCCGTGTCCGATTGCAGGATGGCTGCCACGCGTCCCTCATTTAAATCTAGCGTGTCGATCTTTAACGGTCAAGTGAACAGGCGCTCCAGGGTAAAGTCATGACCTGAGTCGTCACCAAAATGACCAGACTCATGTCCACACTGCGTCCAATCATGTCTAGTAAGGTTCTAGAGCCGGGAAATAGTGACCAGACGTGTCAGGTTAGAGGCGACCTGACACGCCCGAGCGTCCGGTCCACACTGGCCTCTTCTCCGCACGCGCGACCTCAACGTACGTCAGCGAAGTTGCTTTTCTTCGGCGCATCCGATCGCCACAACACCCCTACGTCCGATCGCGACACCGAGCGTCTTCTCCTATGTGCGCGATGACCGGACGCGACGCCCGCGTTAGATCCTGGCGTCCGGTCATAGCCTTGCCCCCTTTCCTAAGTCACCGCGCCACTATATAAATGACTGGATGCGCCCGGGGTGAGTCCGGTCACCCCGCGGCCAGCGTCCGGTCGTGGACCTTCTCTTCTTTTTCTTTTTCTAAGTCCACAACCACTTCACCCTTGCTTCTAACTTGCTAACCATAAAGTGTAGAACTTGTGTGCACGTGTGTTAGCATTTTCAAAGCATTTTACAAGGGTCAAGGTTAGCACACGAGGTTCCTAAATGCATATGTAAGAATCATGTCACCTAGTGGCACTTGATAAACCGTTTAGCCAAAGATTTTCCCTCTTTATAGTACGGCTATCGATCCTAAGTCACTCACACCCTCTATGGTGTCTTGAGTGCAAAACAAAAATGGCTCCTATCAATATACCTTTGCCGTGAGCCCATTTGTGTTTTTCTCTTTCTTCTTTTCCAAATGATGAGCACTTGATCATCTATGTCCATCATCATCTCCAGGAACCATCATCTAGCTTCACCACTTGGATTGCACCAACCTAGCTCATATCACCACTCATGACAAAGGTTAGTGCTAGGTTTCATCAATTATCCAAAACCAAACTAGGGCTTTCAGCGACTAAGACACACCCTTTACATAACATGATGTCTGGGCCGCAATCAAGGAGATGCCGAGCGACCGAGCTCCCAGGCCAGATGGCTTCACCGGGGCATTCTATAAAACAGCATGGCTAATCATCCGACAGGAAGTCATGGAGGTGGTGCAGGCATTCGAGTAGAGCAACACCAAGAGCTTGGATCGCCTCAACAATGCCCTGATCGCACTGCTACCAAAGAAAGTCGGCGCAAGCAGCCCGTCTGACTTTAGACCGATCACCATGATTCATAGCTTTGCAAAGCTCATCTCCAAGGTCCTCTCGAGTGACTCACGCCACGGTTGGCTGACATGGTGAGCAGGAACCAAAATGCATTCATCAGAACCCGCTCCATACACGACAACTACAAGTATGTCCAGCGCGCTGCAGTACTAATCAGGAAGAGAAAAATCCCAATGCTGCTCCTGAAGCTTAACATTTCTAAGGCATTTGACACCCTCTCCTGGCCATTTCTGATGGAGGTGCTCCAAGCGCACGGTTTCAGCAACAAATGGTGCACCTAGATTGAATCTTTGCTCAGCTCGGCATCATCAAGGATACTACTGAGCGGTCACCAGGGGCCATCGATCAAGCACCTAAGAGAGGTGCGGTAGGGAGATTCTCTATCCCCCATGCTATTTATAATAGCAATGGATGTGCTGCATCGACTCTTCCAAAAGGTAGCGTAGGAGGGAGTGCTGAGAAGGATGGTGACGCCGAAGATCAAGTTTCAGTGCAGTTTGTACGTCGACGATGCCATTGTTTTCATCCGGCCAACAGTTCAAGAGGCCAACGCAGTCAAAGAAATCCTGAGCATCTTCGGGCAATCATCGGGACTGCACACAACCTCACAAAGTGCTCAATCACCGCCATCTATGGAGGCGAAGACACCATGCCACAAATAGTATCCATCATCGGCTGCTAGGTTCGACAATTTCTGATTAAATACCTAGGGCTGCCGTTGAGCATCAGAGCAATCCCAAAAGCCCACCACTAGTCCCTAGTGGAAACGGTCGCCAGGAAACTACCTACGAGCCATGGAATGCTAATGGCAAGAAGTGGCAGACTCGTCTGGGTCAAGTCCGTCCTGAGAGCAGTCCCCATCTATGCAATGATGGTCGAAAATCTACCCCCTTGTGCCAGGAAGGAGATTGATGGTATATGCAGAAGGTTCTTCTAGGAGGGGTCTGACCAATCTATCAGAGGGAAATGCATGGTGGCCTGGCAAACCTGTTGCCGACCGACACACCTGGGAGGACTGGGGATACCAATGAAGACCAATCACCTCGGAATCAAATGATGACACAATGATTTTTTACCGAGGTACACTTGCTTGCCGGCAAGCTAGTCCTCGTTGTGGTGATTCACTCACTTGGAGGTTCACGCGCTAATTGGCATCACACGCCAAACCCTCAATAGGGTGCCACACAACCAACATAAGATGAGGATCACACAAGCCACGAGCAATTCACTAGAGTACCTTTTGGCTCTCCGTCGGAGAAAGGTCAAGAACCCCTCACAATCACTACGATCGGAGCTGGAGACAATCACCAACCTCTGCTCGACGATCCTCGCTGCTCCAAGCCGTCTAGGTGGCGGCAACCACCAAGAGTAACAAGTGAATCCCGTAGCGAAACACGAACACCAAGTGCCTCTAGATGCAAACACTCAAGCAATACACTTGGATTCACTCCCAATCTCACAAAGATATTGAATCAATGATGGAGATGAGTGGGAGGGCTTGGGATAACCTCACAAGGTTGCTATATCAATGTAAATAGCCAAGAGAGTGAGCTAGAGCCGGCCATGGGGCTTAAATAGAAGCCCCCACAAAATAGAGATGTTGTACCCCTTCACTAGGCACAACTCGGGGTGACCGGACGCTCCGGTCAGATCGACCGAACGCACCCTGCCAACGTCCGGTCAACGGATGGCTGCCACGTCATCCCTCTCTTCAAATACTGAGCGCCCAATTCCAACGGTCAAGTGATGACCGGACGCAGCACAGTGCCACGACCGGACGCAGGACCCCAGCGTCCGGTCACTTCCAGTAAGGTTCCAGCTACGATTGGACGCGTCAGTTGGATCACGACCAGACACAGAACCCTAGCGTCCGGTAACTTCCAGTAAGCCTCCACTCGCGACCGGACGCGTCCGGTCAAGCCCGACCGGACTTACCCAGCGTCCGGTCACTCACTGTCTCCTCTGTGCGCTGTCACATCAGTGGGACCGGACACAGCCAGCCAGTGTCTGGTCACAAAGTGACCCAGCGTCCGGTCGAAGACCGACGCTAGTGTCTTCACTGCTTCCACTGACCGGACACTCCGGTCCAGTTGAGACCAGCGTCCGATGCACTCTGTGAAACCCTGTCTTTTTTGTACAGGGCGCTGGTGGCACCGTCGGACTGTCCGCACTCACTCCACCGGTGAAGTTTCAAACCCTTGCTCCCAAGTGCTAAACACAATGTGTATCAACTTTGTGCTTGTGTGTTAGCATTTTTTCACAAATATTTTTAAGGGTGTTAGCACTCCACTAGATCCTAAATGCATATGCAATGAGTTAGAGCTTCTAGTGACACTTTGATAACCGCATTTCGATACGAGTTTCACTCCTCTTAATAGTACGGCTATCGATTCTAAATGTGACCACACTCGCTAAGTGTCTTGATCACCGAAACAAAAAAGCTCCTACCATTTATATCTTTGTCTTGAGCCTTTTGCATTTCTTTTACTTCTTTTCCATGTCCAAGCACTTGATCATCACCATGTTAACACCATCATCATGTCATGATCTTCATTTGCTTCACCACTTGGAGTAGTGCTACCTATCTCATGATCACTTTGATAAACTAGGTTATCACTTAGGGTTTTATCAATTCACCAAAACCAAACTAGAGCTTTCAGGTGGCTATGGCTACAGAAAATGGATCAAGACCGGGCATGGAGTCAGCTGCCGATCCAAACTTTCAAGGAAGTTCAAGCCTTCTTCAGGGCCTCAACCTATACACTGCTGGGCGACGGTCGTCGGGCTCTATTCTGGGATGATAGATGGATACATAGGCAGGATGTGGCCGCAATCGCTCCGTACCTACATCAGAGAATTCCGCATCGAATTCGCCGAAGGCAAACTGTCCAAGAAGGACTCCAAGACAGGGCATGGGTACGATGCATTACTGGAGGCCTCTCGGTGCTTGAGCTGACAGACTACCTTCATCTGTGGGCGACAGTTGATGGCATTCAGCTCGACGACCAGCCAGACAGAACGGTATGGCGCTGGACCGCGGACGGGACTTACATCGCTAAATCATCATACAACATGATGCATACCGGCTCCATCAAGATGAACGGGCATAGGTTACTCAGGAAGACATGGGCACCCCTCCGCGTGAAGATTTTCCTTTGGCTCGCCTTGAAGCGAAGGCACTGGACCGGCGACAGGAGGGCGAGGCATGGCCTCGACGCCAGGGAGCTATGCTACCTCTGTGACCAAGGACAGGAGACGATCGACCACATCATCGCCACCTGCCCATTTTTGCGAGAAGTCTGGTTCTATGTTTTACAAGCTTTGCAGCGACCAACACCGGAAGCCTCACCATCAACGATTTCCTGGTGGCGCAGACTACGGTCCCTGTTCAACGGTGAACGCAAAGCTAGTATGGATTCCCTGTTCGCCTTAGTCTCCTAGCAGTTATGGAAGGAACGGAACGCTCGATGCTTCCGGGAATCGACGACCACGGTCAACGACCTGCTGCAGATCATCAAAGCTGAAGAGGACTGGTGGATTCAGGCGGGAGCTTCAGGGTCGAGAGCGCTAACACAAGGCTAATGTCGCTATAACCTCGCATGGGACGTAGGTTGTTCAATTACAAAATGTAGCGCATAACAAAAAAAATAACTAACGACCGGGAGTGGAACTCTTGTAATTTCAAACTCTTTTCCTTCTAATACAATGATATGCACTCATGCATATTCGAGAGAAAAAAATGTATGCATGTCCACATAGGCAGGATGTACATGTACTGTACCACGAGTTATGGATGTTGTAACATTTCAGATGTGTCTGTCAAATCTCTATTCTTCTAAATCAGAGCCAAGCTCTGAAATATTATTGGGCCACGTCACCTGAAAATCTCCACCGTCGGATCCTAGGTGAAGTTTCCATCTGGCCGTCGTCCTCGAGTCTTCAGCGAACAGGCATGGAGCCGTGGACTCTTCGTGAGAGATCGCCGTCACTCGCACGCGTCTCTTCCCGAATCACTACCGCGCGAGTCGTCGCGACGAGCCGAGGACGCCACAACAGGGATGTCTCCAAGAGCATCGCGAAAGGTGCCGGTCTCCGCCCTTTACCTACCGCGTCGCTCGCAGCCCACCGACGTCCACCCTCCGCCTCCTACGCCACCAACTGCCCACATCTCGGCCAGTGCCGCCCGGAATGCGACTGTAGCGAGAAGACCGACGCCGCTGCGTCCTAAGTGTGGGCGTTGTGGGCTTGATGGCCTCCTTGCCGACGGCATTGCAGTACCGCTTGCTCATCAACAGTGTGCTCTTGACCATGCCTGCGGCGCTTGGCCACCTCGCCCGTCGGCCCACGCCCTCGACGTACTCTGTCGCCCGCGCCATCTCGCACCTTCCACACCGCCGCGCCCACAAGGACATAGCAGCACTGCAGCCCGTGGAGTGGCGTGGGGCGGCGCAGCAGGCAGCACTGAAGAAAGCTTGAATACCAACTGCTCAAGGGACGCCCCCATGGTGTTAGATGAAATGGCCATCCCGTTCGTCGATTCTCAATAAACACAATGCTCCGCAGGATAGCCTCACTTGTGAAGATAATGATCTAAACTACATCGATTGGCTTGGCATTGAGAATTTTAAGGATGCCATTGCCAGGAACGGCGGCGGACATGGATGTGCATGTGATGGAGAGGGACACGTTCTATCAGATGCTGATACACTGTCTCCCGGGAGGTTGGATCAGGTGAGCGGCAAGGGCAGCAAAGTGCGTGCAGGGTATCATATCAGTGTATCAAGAGTGCTCTGCCGTTCTCTGTATTTCCTCACCATTTGTGTATCTCGGGACTGCCAAAGGGGCTGCATTTCCTGGTGAGGAATGAGGAGCATTTTGATGCATTGCAGCATGCCATGAGGCAGGACTCTGAGTGGGTTCGGCTGGAAGGATGCCCTGATGTGGCTGATGGCCTCCCACTCTACAAACTGATGGAAGGGTTTGTGATGCAGATCTCTAGCTTTGAGGTATATAGAGATTCTGTCCAGTTATATGCATTCGTAGCTAATTAATTATATATACGCCTGTTCTGATGTAAAGTTTCGATTACCTTAAGGCATAAATGATATCACTGTTATTAGATTTGTCAACGATGGGCAATGATCTTTTTTCTCAATTCCAACTGATAGTAGCAATATGACATGACTTGAATTTTTTTCCTGAATGCATATCTGCATAAATTTCTTAGCACAAGTATTTGTAGTGTGCTATTCTTAAACCTATCACTGCATTGAAAGTTAGATAAAGAGTTGAATTAGAAGTGCTAGAAAGGAACAAGAAGGCAGTATCTTCTTTGGAGTCAATGCTCGATTGATCTGCTTTCTTGCTTCAGTTATTTGTGATTCATGGGTTGCGGACCAATCACTGCATTGTTGCTCGTTATCACATTTACAAACTAGATGTCACCTTTTTCTTTCTAGATGGGTATCACTTCTTTCAATATTTTTTCTTTTACTTGTAAGGATAATTGCTTGTGAGCTTATTATAGAGGTTCAAAAATTTCCACTTGAACTCCCGTCGATCTTTTTTTTTAAAAAAAAACTTGAACTCTTGTCATCACTTGTTAACTCCATATATCTTGTACGAAGAAATGAGCTCATGGACTTGATATTGAAATCTAAAGTATCATGGTGATCGAACTTACCAACATCTATAAAGAACTTGCGATAGTTTTTAGTTTTCCATTCCCTGTCATCTCGTAGAATCAAACACAACAGTTAAATTATTTCTTACTATAATAGCATTACTTTTAACATCCCTTCAGCTATAAATATTTGATTTATTTCTGACTATAATAGCAGTACCTTTAACATCCCTTCAGCTGCAAATATTTGAGAACATTAAGCTGGACTGTGGTGTGTCTTTGCACCACGGTTGGCAATCTATCCACGTCCGAGGCCCGATGATTCATAGATTCCACTCTGATACAGGCTCCACTGGGCTAGCTGAAGCTAATGCAGGGTTACCTTGATACAGGCACTCCACTGGGCTAGCTCCAGCTGGCGCGGCAATGCCGCGCCTAAGGTTTTCTAGTTTTCACTAAACTACAATTCAATATTCATTTTGTTTGGTTCAATTCTAGTAGGAATGAAAGCAGAGCACTCTGTATTATTAGAGGCTTGGCATCGACCGAACAGCTAGCAACCAAATGAGCCCTACCTCCAGATACCGCAGCCCATTACACTTTCGTCTAGCTGGCCCAAGCCTCCAGGAGGCCCATTACACTTTCATGTTCATGGCACATTAGCCTGAACCGGACAGCATATTTCACGTTCTTTGGGCTTTTTTTTTCCCCAGCCAGGCAGCCTAGCTATTTTAGAAACACGCAGAGATGATTTTACCATTTCGGATTTAAACCATTTTTGTGGTGGTAGGGACTTCTTTTGGCATTGGACTTCACCTAGAGGTTAATCTTCAATTTTTGATATAAAAAATATCACTGTATAGGAGACTTTCATATCAAATTCGATGTTAGAAACAAGGACGATGGCTTTCAATGGGATCTGATTGCAGTACAATATGGGTTCAAAGAAGCTTTCGTTACAGAGATGGTTCAAATTTGTAGCCCAGACGATAAACCAACTCTCCTAGGTGGTGACTTTAATATTATAATAAGGTAGCCCTTTGAAAAGAATAATGATAGGTACAACGATAGGTGGCCTTTTCTTTTTAATGCTTGCATTGGAAGTCTCGATTTGAGAGAATTAGAACTCTTTGGTCGTCATTTTACACAGGCCAATTCTCTGGAGGCGCCGACATTTGAAAGGGTAGACAGATTCTTAGTTAGCACAGTCTCGGAACATAAATTTCCTTTAGCGACGCAAGCTCTCACTAGAGATATTTCATATCATACCCCTTTAGTTTGCTTCTAGATCCAGGAACCCTGTTTTTTTGAGGTAATTAACCGCCTTTTCAATTTGAATTGTGTTGGCTCATTAGAGATGTTTTTTATGAATAAGTAACAAATGTTTAGAATAATGAGAACTAGACGAATTCCCCGCGCGTTGCTGTGGGAATTTAGGTCCATTTTATAGAAACATTGACTTACAAAAGTGAAACTGACTTGGGCGTTCTTTTGTAAGTATATGCTTTATTAATTTTCAACAGCATGCAAAATCACACCAAGTGAAACTGACTTGGGCGGCGTTCTGCGTTCGCACAGCACAACCACATATATGATTCGATTCGATTCGACTCGATCATGCATGCAGTGCGAATAATTAAACGAAAGATTCAGATAACACAGACGCAATGGATCGAAGCGCATGCTGTGGTGCGGAGATTCCTGGCCAGCCGATCCATCTCCGCAAGCTGCTTTAAATAGCTGGAACGCAGCTATGCTAGCTTTTGGAGTGCTGTTGATGTTGGATGCCACAACACAACAGATAGAAAAAATGAAAGACAAAGAATGATGTAACTCCGGTCCTCCTTTTTAGTTTCTTTCCGATCCCCCCTAATCAATTTATAAAATAAAGTTGCCATTAACTTTATTGCTAGATAGGTTTTCCACTTGTCCTTCTTTCCTAGCAAAACCATGGCCCTGCGTATAGTATCATCATCTCGCACATAGATAAATTTTCGAGTCTGCGGACAATAAGCAAGCAGAGGCGTCTCGTTTCTTTCTTTCTTTCTTTCTTTTGAAAGAAATCTCGTTTCTTTTCTAATTTGTGTGCGGAAATTAGATCATTGGCTACCTGTGTGTTGTAAGCACCGCATAATAACTATGCATGTTTAGCCTGCCTATATATGTATGTATATCTCGCAAAACCACTGAAATACGTAGATAAGATAATGAGAAGAGTTTGATGACGCCAAGCATGTGCACTATCTAATACTGTCTAGAGCTAGGACTTAGGACGTGCCATCGGAGGTGGGCTGTAGCACGGTTTTCTGGCATGGCCCAAAACAAGGCACGACGCGAAATAATTTGGATCACGCTGGCACGACACAAAACTTGAGGACCGTGCCATGCCTAGGATTTTGGTACGATGATGGGTTGCAGCATGGCTCGTTCCGCATTTTAGGCTGTGCTTCGACCGGCACGGCATAAAAATGACAGCTAAACACATATAGAACACTACAATGTGTATTTACTATACTATCTCTCATCTAATTAATGAGGTATTTGGGACTACACTATATGTTTTTCAGCTCTGCTCCATGTTTTTTAGCCAAACAGCTTCACCCCTCTACACAACTCTGCTCCAGGGAAAAGGATGGAGTTGTGAGAGCACTTAAAGAAGTGCTTCACAAACTCTAGGCTTTTAGTGAAGCTAATCCATGGTGAAGTTTGTGAAGCAGAGTTCGTGGAGCAGTCCCATATACTCCTTGTCTTAAAGCTAGCAATGGCCGTTTCATTGGAGACAGGCTTTGTTGAAGCTTGTGTGTAGCCATAGACAAAGTGTGTGTGCCGTGTTACTAGCTAGTTTTCTGGCTTATTATTGTTCTCTCAGCTAGAGACATACTCCATACACATACGTTTCGTCGGACCATATAGACCATAATTTTTAAGATATACACATAAAAGTAGCTATCCTTAGGAGTAGAAAATATTTTATATATATACTATATGTCGATCAAATTATACATTTATATTTGGGATTATTTCATTTAATTTCTTGGTTGGCATGGATTCTTTTAGATTAAGGAACGAAAAGTATTACGGCCTCCCACATTCACGGGTGAATGGGTATAGCCAAACAAACAGACAAAGGTCTAGGTGACCACGCACCTCAAATTAGAGCTCACGGTCCACATTAGATCATAGACCACACACAGAACACTCTACCAGAGAGAAAAACACCACATCTAGTTCTCTAAACTCTTCTGATAATCCCAACCCAATCTTCCAAAGACTTATAGCATCATCACTTCCAACTGCTTGCATCGATCCACTCTTCAGACTCGTTCTCTCTTCCTGTTTAGATAATTGTGACGACTGTCTGATTCAGTACCAGCACAAAGGAATTAGTACTTTTCTTATTGAACACCATATCATTTCTCTTCAATCACAAAACTTAGTACATAGCTGCTAACCCCACTATGATCTTCTCAAACTAGGAATAAAACTCATAATCCACTAACCAAACAAGTGTAAATTATTTTTTGGGTGATTGGATGTTAAACATGATGAATAAAGTTTTCCACAAGAATGTAGCCAAACGACACTCAAAAAAGAGATGTTTAACTGTCTCTTTTAGACCATAAAAGCTACAGCTCTCATCTCCGTTCCAGCCCCTATTTAGCAAATTATTATCCTTTGTCACGGATGACACGGGATGACAATACGTTCGTCCACGGAATCAAAAGAAGCATACCAATAAGCTCGATATATGTGAATGCACGGACAGAAGTAAACGTACGAGCTAGAGAAAGATGCATGAGAAAAAGGATGAAATAAAGCGGATAAAGAAAGGCAGCAGCACGGCGTACGTGTATGCATCATGTAGCTCGCTCGAGTGGTTTTTTTGAAAGCAAAGCAAAGCAATGCAATGCAATATACTCCATGCGCTAGCTTGTCCGTCGTCCGTCCGTCTGTCTAATAATACAGAAATAAATAATGGACATGGATCGATCCATCTTTGTGAGAGTAGTGGAGAGTGATGGTGAGGCCTTCCTCCAATAATCCAAGGACATGGAGGATGGAAATCATGGAATCACACTTCACGCTAGCTAGCTACCTACCTGCGCACTTTTATTTCAACTCTAGATAATACTACTTTTTCTGAACGTTCATTTGATTTTCACCAAAAGAAGAAAGCAGGTTGCATATATACAATAATTCAGAGTTTTGTTGCACTTCTAGGAGCTGTATTGTTTCCATTTTATTCTCAATCTGCTGTCGTTGTTTAATTTGTGCTGTACTACTGACGAACCATGAGTCACTAGTCACTTTCGTTATATGTCCTCGTGTGTTGAATCATCTATCGTCTCCGTCACTCAGACAGCATATATATAATTTTATATACTCATCATACTCTGATCGAGGAGCTAGCTAGACTGAAATGAACACGCACATATATATTTGTCGGCGTTGTTTACTTGTGAAAGAATCTGATGCTCTGGATAAACTTGAATCATAACTGTTAGCAACTAGGAATAACAAACCATAACTGGAGGAGCTATAGCTCATGATCAGCTCCCAGCTGATTGAGGTATATATATGTTGATGTTACTACTAGTACATTCCATTCCATGCAAGATCCTCCTTTTGTGATTGTAGGTAGGCAGGTGGTAGTGTCAAGCACCGCATGCACTAAGACCTATAATATCTTAGCAAATATATATGATGGATGAATCAATCGGCTGTGTAATCTTGATCATCCTCCACTCTGAACCAGCAATCATCATGCATGCAGGATTGGAATGAATAACCCCTTTATATATGTAGAGTAAATTATTAGCACACCAATTAAGCTACGGCAGCTACAATCGAGGTTTCATTGGGTGTATTCATTCATTAAGTTGACCCCAAACCTAATCTTTATCGATCACTACGTACGTCTCTTTAAATTTGGTGTACATGTGTGCGTGTGGTGCCATCCACGTCAGAAAAACACCATACGTACAGGTTTCCGCGCGCAGGTGGCTGCATGTACTGCACGCAACACACACTGGATGCCTGCCTAGCTAGCTGTTCGTGTCAATCCATAAAACTACACACACACACACACACACTACCATTCATGTAGCTGTAATCCATTCCATCCATCTCTAGCATGCAGAAAGCAGAAGATGGTAGTAGCATGTGTGTGTGTGTGTTTGGTTGCCTTGCAGATAGAACCGAACCGTTGTTGCCCGTTACGATCCATGGCGTGGCAGCGTGCACCATAAGTATCGTGTAACCCCCAACAAACTCCATCTGCTCACGCACAGAAAACACACATTTGCTTTGCTTTGCTTTGCTTCGCTTCGTCATCGATCCTCACTCCTCGCTCCTCAGGCCGCCGGCCAGCCATGACGACACCACCACCACCAGCAGCAACACCGAAGCAGCAGCAGCATGGCCTCGCCGCTGTTGCGGCCGAGGTGCGCGCCCAGCGCGGCATCGCGCTCCCGCTCGTCGGCATGAACCTCACCTGGTTCGCCAAGCAGGCCGTCACCACGGCCTTCCTGGGCCGCCTCGGCGACCTCCAGCTGGCCGCCGGCACGCTCGGCTACAGCTTCGCCAACGTCACCGGCTTCGCCGTCCTCAGCGGCCTCTGCGGCGCCATGGAGCCCATCTGCGGCCAGGCGCACGGCGCCGGCAACGTCGCCCTACTGCGCGGGACGCTGCTCAGGGCCACGCTCATGCTCCTCGCCGCCTCCGTACCCATCGCGCTCCTCTGGACGCGCGTCGACGCCGTCCTGCTGCGGTTCGGCCAGCAGCCCGACATCGCGGACACGGCCAGGACCTACGTGCTCTGCCTCCTCCCGGACCTCGCCGTCACCTCCGTGCTCAACCCGCTCAAGGCCTACCTCAGCGCGCAGGAGGTGACGCTGCCCACGCTGTTCGCCGCCGCGCTGGCGCTGGCGCTCCACATCCCGCTCACCGTGTCGCTCTCCGCCAGGATGGGCGTCCGGGGCGTGGCCGCGGCCGTCTGGCTCAGCGACCTCGCCCTGGCGCTCATGCTCGCCGCCTACGTGCTCGCCCACGAGCTCCGCCGGCCAACCAAGCCGCCGCAGCAGACGAAGCCAGCAACGGCGGGCGACTGGCTGCTGCTCCTCCGTCTGGCCGTCCCCTGCTGCCTCAACACCTGCCTCGAGTGGTGGTCCTACGAGATCCTGGTGCTCCTCACGGGGCGCCTCCCCGACGCGCGCCGCATGGTGGGCGTGGTCGCCGTCACGCTCAACTTCGACTACCTGCTGTTCGCGGCCATGCTGTCGCTGTCCGTCAGCGCGTCGGTGCGCGTCTCCAACGAGCTGGGCGCCGGGGACGCCGCCCTGGCGCGCCGCGCCGCAAGGGTGTCCATCGCGGGCGGCTTGGCGGCGGGCGTTGCCGGCGGCCTGCTCATGCTGGCGGCGCGCCGGCCGTGGGCGCGCATATACACCCGCAGCCCGGAGGTGCGGGACGGCGTGGGGCGGGCCATGAAGGTGATGGCGCTGCTGGAGGTGGTCAACTTCCCGCTCAACGTCTGCGGCGGCATCGTGCGGGGCACGGCGCGCCCGCTGCTGGGCATGTACGCCGTCGTGGGCGGCTTCTACGTGGTGGCGCTGCCGGTGGGCGTGGCGCTCGGCTTCAAGGCCCGCCTGGGGCTGGAAGGACTCCTGGCCGGCTTCCTGGTGGGCGCCGCCGTCAGCCTGGCGGTGCTAGTGACGGTCATCGTGTGCATGGACTGGGCGGCCGAGGCAGACAAGGCGCAGACACGGGCAGGGGCTGCCGGTGCCGGCAACACCGCTCGTGTTGAGCCGCCGCCGAACAAGGCGCCGGCGCCGGCGGAGTCGGAGGCTTGCTAGTATAGGTAGCTCATCGATCGCCACCGCTTTATATATATAGAACATCCTGTGCTGGCTGTCAGCATTGGTGTAAACATATATACTGAATTGTGTTGTGCAGTCGAAGCAACAAAAACAAAATTAAAGCCTTTAATTTTAGGGATTAACGGCAGGTAACAAACCAGTGCTGACAGCAGCCCCTTGCGTAGTAGGACGCTGAGCATTCCTAAGATGGCTGCCTTCCTAACTGCTTATATCTGAAAATGTACCTGATTTCCATGGTGACAACCAGAATCATGCACTGCAGTGTACTCCGTAGGAAATAGTAACGAACAGCTGCACCCGCCCAATATTGGTCCCTGGGGACCATGGGAAAATGATCTGCCAGATGCAGCAGCCCCTGTTGCACTTGTAGACCTGAATGTAGCACCAGGCAATTTACCGTACATGTGGTAGAAGATGAGGAGCAGATGGAAGTGGATGCTCACCTGTGCCAAATCTAGCAAGTTCATGATCATGGACACATCAGCCTTGCTGCCTCAGACGCCCATGGCTCTGCAGAATCAGTTGGTTTTAGCCCCTGAAGATGGAGACCTGGCCGATCCCCCCCATCCCGACCCGACAGGCTGGTAATCTACAAATTGGAGCAGCAAGACTATTCCCATTCCCAAACTACATCAATCTCAGATCCAGTTTTTGGTAGTCATGGTGGACCTGAGGCAGCAAAGGGAGCATCAAACATCACTATTAGACTCCGGAACACACTTTTTGGCCAACAAAAACGGTTGTCAATGTCCCTCTACAAATGCAATGGGCCGGCCGATTGCATCACTCCCGAGTCCCGACACAGCTTCCACAGGTGGATTTCCTTTTCCATCTTGCTCCATGAGTCAGATCCCTTTTCAAATAAAAAAGAATGCTGCTGGACCTGGACCTGCAAATGCAACACCTGATGCAGTTCAAAAAAAAAACACCTGGTGCAGAAATTTCCAGCCACATCATCTTCTGCTGACTCCGCTCCTATCAGTAGGAGGAAAAGACAGAACGTGGTGGTAGACACTGATGTGAGGAGGAGTTTGAGAATATTTAAAAAAAAAATCAAAGTAAAGCATTCAAAAATGATACCTGAAAGGAGAGGAACTCTATGGCCTGCTCTGCTGGTAGCCCTCCTACACTTAACACTTTCACCTTGGGTTATCAGAAACTTGGGCACAAACTTGTGTGGCATGGATGCTAATGGTTTCAGCAATGAAACCCTGACTACCAAGGAGAAACATAACAGAGTTATTGCAAAAAAAAAAAAAAAAAAAAAAACAGGCTGATAATCTAGTGATGTCCATGATGACGGAGGCCGGATGTTGTGCCCATTGTCCAGCAAAATTTGGAATTCCAAAATTTGAGCACTAGAAATCTGTGCTAGGACTAGGAGCTCTCGGTCCACCAAGGCACCCATTATTGTTTGTTGTGGTCAATAACAATAATAATAACGCCACAATTTCTTGTAATGAATAATAATCAGTATAGATCATCAGTACCTATGACCTGTATGTGATGGGATAATCCATGAATCAAATGGTAAACAGACAAGATGTTGTAGAATGGCGACTCTCCCTTGTGGAACAGGCCTGGTAAGCCTATAACAAACATATGGGCCGGCACAACACAGTACCCACCCACCATTTGATTTGATTTGGCCCATATTCCACGATGCGAGCGATTCCATCCATTCGTCCTCCTCCTCCTCCTCCTTCCTTTGCTCTCCTCCCTCCTCTCCAGGTCCAGGCAAGGCAAGCTCGGGCAGAACCAGATGGTCACGCACCTGGTGTCCTGCTGCCTCCCGGCACCGGCAGCGGGGGCGGTGACGGTGGCCAAGCCCAAGCCCAAGCCCAAGCCGCCGCCGCCTCCTCCTCTTCATCCGCGCCGCCGGACACCAAGAGCAAGAGCAGGGGCCACACAAGAGTCGGCCGAAGGTACTGTACTGGACAATCCATTTCCAAATCTACGCCCTCGCATCGCATTGGTAACCTAGGGAGCCCCGGCTCTTCCTGGCCACGTCAGCAATAGAAATTTTATTTTGGCCATCCGATGCGAAATCAACAGCCCTGCTTCACCCCACCGACCGTTTCTCCACCAAAGAAAACAAACCCTCTCTATCTCCCCTCCAGCCGGCCGACGGCGCCCGCGTGCGGCGGCGCTCCGTCGCCGCCACCGCCCGCGCGGAAACCATGGGGAGAGGCATCCTTAACGCCGGGCCCTCCTCCTGGATCGCCGCCGTGGCCACTGCCGCACCAGCAAGCTTCCGCGGCGCCCACGCCGTCCTCCTCACCTCCGGCCACCTCTCCTCCCGCGCCTCCGCCAACTCGCTCCTCCGCGCCGCCCCCTCCCCCTCCGCCTGCGCGCTCATCCTCCGCCTCATGCTGCTCCACCGCCTCCGACCCGACCACATCTCCCTCTCCTTCTCCCTCCACTCCTGCGCCCGCGCCGTCGTCCCCACCACCACCACCCGCAACCCGCTCACCGCCCTCTTCCGCTCGCTCGCCCTCAGGCTTGGCCACGCCCGCGACGTCTACGTCGCCAACGCCGCCGTCTCCTCCTACTTCGCCGCCTCCGACGTCGCCTCCGCCGACCGCCTCTTCGCGGAGGTCTCCGACGACGTCGCCGACGTAGTCACCTGGACCACCATGGTCACCGGCCACGCAAACGCCAGCAATCTGGAGCAGGCGAGGCGCCTCTTCGACGCGATGCCCGAGCGGAACGTCGTTTCCTGGAACGCGATGCTGGGCGCGTACGCCAGCGCCGGGATGCTGTCCGAGGCGCGGGAACTGTTCGACGCGATGCCTGAAAGGAACGCCGCCACGTGGAGCTCTATGCTCACTGGGCTCGTGCTGTCGGGACGCTGCGGGGAGGCGCTGAGGGTGTTCGCTGACATGGTCCGCGGCGGCGCCGTGCCCAACGAGCCCGCGCTGGTTAGTGTGGTCTCGGCGTGCGCGCAGCTGCGGTCACTGGAGCACGGCGCGTGGGTGCACGCGTACGCCGAGCAGGAGCTGCAGGGGGCCATGAGCGTCATCCTCGCCTCCGCCATCATCGGCATGTACGGGAAATGTGGGGGTATCCGCAGTGCCGTCAGGGTGTTTGCTGCGATGCCCTTGAGGAACGTCTACTCCTGGAACGCCATGATCGCTGGGCTCGCGATGAATGGCGGCGAGAGACAAGCCTTGTCGCTCTTGTGGAAGATGCAGATGGCTGGTATTCAACCGAATGACATAACTTTCATCGGGTTGCTGAGCGCTTGCTCCCACTCTGGCCTTGTGAATGAGGGCCGACGGTTGTTTGACAGTATGATCGAGGACTTCAGGATACAACCAGTCCAACAACATTACGGTCTTATGGTTGATTTGATCGGCCGCTCTGGTCGTGTCAGGGAGGCGATGTTTTTCATCAAGAGCATGCCTGTGGAACCTCACCCTGGCTTATGGGGCGCACTAGCTAGCGCCTGCAAGATGCATGGTGAGGTGGAGCTTGGTGAGGAGGTTGCCAAGAAGCTCATTGAACTGGAGCCTCGCCATGGCAGCCGATACATCCTCCTGTCAAACTTGTATGGCTCTGCGAATAGATGGGATGACATGGCCTTTGTGCGCAAGATCCTCAAAAGGCGCAAGGTGCCCAAGGGCACTGGCAATGCAGTGGTTGGAATGACATACAATATGTCCAATGATTGACTGCACTCCCGATAAGGATGTATAAAAATTTGGGGCTACTTTACACTGATATGGGCATTATGATTTTTGCCCCGGTTGGACCGACTACCTCGGAGCAACATGAGATCGAGGAGCCTAGATGATGATAGGGCTGAAATAGAAATGTTTGTTTGATATGTCATCCTATGCCTAATTGTTTGAACAGCACTCAGTAATTGCGCATACAGGGAGTGGAAGTGCAAAGAACTAGCAAGAAGTGCAGGCTGGTGCTTGAATACTGACCAAAGGGGGCTGGAACTCAAGACCTATGAGTGTTGTGTAGTATGATCAGTTCAGAGTTAGGCGATTCAGTTAATGCAAGGATGTTTCAAAATAGTTACTTGACCTCTTTTTTATTGCATATGGAGATCTAGGATGAGATCGATCCAATGGTAATTTTGTCAGAAGTACCGTTGTATGCTTAATTTCATCAACCTTTGCTATCTTCTACCATTACATGTATTTATCAGAACTGTGACCTCGTTCTAGTTTATAATATGGTGACTGACCTGACTGTTTGCCTCTTTCTTGCTTGGTTCCTCCAAACAAGAGACTTCGTGCTCAGGAGCAGTGAGCTCGCCACGCTCGCTGCCATCTTCCACTTCAGGTACCCTGCTCGTTTCTTTTCCTTCAGTCATGTCACGACCCGTGTTGTCACTTCAACTGTTATGGTTCTATTCTATTCTATTCTACCTGTGGTGTGTGTGGTGACCACCCTGCCTACCGATGCATATTAAATTACTCTACTAATTTTGATTCCATTCCATTGCATTCCTGAAACCCTAGTCACACCTCGATCCAGTTAAACTGTTTTGACCCTCTTTTAGAAACAGACTCCACACCCACCATGGTTCACTTCATTTCATGGTAGAGCCAGGAGGAGCATAAATTTGGAACCCACAACACAAGTCAATGCAATGAACTAGTTCTATGATTTTGGGACTTGGCCACTGTTGTATGCATCTTCGTCTCACCTGCCATCATGTCTTCATCTCACATAGAGGAATCAGGAATGCAATGCAAATGCAGATGATGAATATTTGTTGTTTTCCTCTACTCTTCTCTTCTCTGACAAGTGCTTATGTTTCCCTTCACCCCTCTTGGCTCCAGTGGCACCAAACCAAGCTACCTTGGCGTTCAGAAGAGTCCTCCATCCCTTGCTCTGTGCCCTGCAACCAATAACTGTGTTTCGACATCAGAGGAAATAAGTGATTCGAATCACTATGCTCCCCCATGGTAAGCCCATTACTGTTGTGAGTTCCCTTCTCTGCTTCTTTACTTTACTCTCTGTTATATACTGCATGCACTAAAAGCTGGCATCGAAAACAGGAGTATGCTACAACTCACTCCATGTATCTGATCTCCAATCACAACAACTCGCACCTTATTCCTGCTAGTGTAGCAAGGAAACAGCTATCATGACTTCATGAGCCCTTTGGGCTGTTTTCTCTTCCAAAAAAAAGGAAGGCTTAGTTCCAGATGTTCCTTTGAATTTTTGCGGCACCTAATGCATTTACATTGGTCAGCTAGTGTTCCCTGCCTCCTTGAAAAAAAGGAGAAATGAAGCATGGGTGTCATAACAACTGTCAGAGGTGCAGTCATATTGTGTTGCAGAGTATCTTAACATTATTTTTGTCCAGGAACTACAATCCCAAGGATGGCCGGAGGGGTAAACCCATAACCAAAGAGGAGGCCATGAAAGAACTAATTGAAGTCGTAAGTAAATATATGCATGGTGGCACACGTAAAAGCATTGTACCGGTACTGCCTTGGAATTATATGTTTTCTGCAGCATTATCTTATATTTGGTTGTAACCAGGTCACGAAGACAAAGCCAGACAACTTCACTCCTCACATTGTAGATAAAACAGATGATTACATCCGAGTTGAATATGGGAGCCCTATATTTGGGGTAGGCGGGTAGCACCTTGTTGGTTTCCCTTTTTGTAAGCTAATATAGGTTGTTAGATGTGCGCAAATCTCATGGCTATTTGATAGTTTCTTTTTATCATTTCTCCATGGTGCAGTTTGTAGATGACGTGGAGTTCTGGTTCCCTCCTGGCAACAAACCACTCGTTCAGTATAGGTCGGCATCTCGATCAGGATTTATCGACTTCAATGCCAATAAGAAGAGAGTAAAGGTATGTCTGCCTCTATCTGGTACCGTTTGTGTGATTTAGTTCTGTGGGTCGAATACATACCGGGTCCCTGCTAGTTGATGAGATCGTGCCTCGATGATATATACTCTCTGATTCATGTGACCAGGAGCTGAGATTGGCTTTGGAAAAGAAGGGCTGGGCTTCGGAAAGCAACTTTTGAATTGAAGGAAGAAGGATGGAAGAGGTGCAGGTGCATGCTACTCAGACTCAGTGCAGGTGCAGGCGGGTCGTCTCATCGTATTCAGATTCAGACCAGAGACCATTTTAGAGTCTTTGGTTGTAGCAGCACAAGTGGAACTGGGATAGTATCCCCTTTGGGTACTGCCCACGCAAAGGCGAAAGTTTCTGTTTTTGTGATGGTCCTCAGCCCTCGTCCTCACTCAGGTCAGCGCTTGGTCCTGGAGCGACCTGCTCTGATTCCGTCGGGGTCACTGTTGACTTCTTTTTGCTTATTATTAGTCCACAAGTAGAATTGCACAGCAAACTCTTGCCTGATTTAGCGGCACAACTGGAACTGGGATAGTATGTTTTAGAACGGAGGGAGCATTCGCTTGTCATCCACTTTCGTGCCCTATTTTACTTATTCGTGTCATCAATATATGTTATGTTCTTTGAAATCTTAATTGATGCGCCGCTTGAGGCTCAAATCAAATCACCCTAATCAGCATAAACTTAGGGTTGATTCGAACCTCAGGTCGTCGAGCGACACAATTACATATATTACCAAGATTGTGAACATAGTAGTACTAGGTTAAGGGACCGATGGTGTATTTTCCACTGAGGGCCTGTTCGCTTGAACTTATCAGCCGGTTTATCGGCTATAATCTACAGTATTTTTCTCTCATAATAAAATAGCTTTAACTGGCTTTAATACCAGCCGAACAGGAAGTTCAGTGGAAAATACACCAGGTGCACAGTGGTAGCTGCTGGATGGATTGATTCGGTGGGTGAGCATCTCCATCCATTGATGTTGCATTCGCAGGGCAGGCCACCGCTGTGGTGGTGGTGGTGGTGGCCATCATGCATCATGAGGAATTGAGGATGCATCATCATCATCCATGGGTGCCGGTGCCGGTGGCGCACTAAGGACGGAGGAGTACTCTTATATAGGAAATGGGTCAAAACCAAGAAATAGGTCAAAAGGGCTATATATTACATGGACAGCAACGACCTGGCTAGTCAAAACAAAGAAATCATATACTACTTACCAGGAGTATATATATTGCCATTTTGGCATGCATGCTATTGCTGCTACGGTTGACAAATACTCCTACATGCATGCATCGAATCGGATCGGATCGGATCTGTCCTTGTGTGATGATAATGATAAGATATGTATATTCGTTCGATATGATAATTGACCCAGCTGAGATTATTAGTTCCTCGCATCAGCTCTGGATGCATGGTTGTGGTTGACTTGACCCAGAGAGAGTTAGTTTCATCATGGATTATATTATATATATAATAATATAGCACACACATATAAAAGATATACCTAGATTATAATAAGGCAATATACGAACCTCCAGTAGTCGCTAATCGAGCCATCTCATCACACGCACTGTCACGGTACAGTTAGGTAACCGTACCCCTGATCTGATCGATGTCAATGCCGTGACTGAAAACGACGACAAGAAAAATCCCCGATGGATTCAGGTGCTTTCTTTCTATCGTACATTCTATCCTTTTTCAGATATTGGATTGGAGGCACAGATAGATGACGGCAGGTGGTGGCCGGTGGGAGTAGTGGAGTGGAGCTGGCCATGCATGTTGGCCATCCTCAGGTCTTCTTCATCCATCCATACCTACGGGCCTACGGCTGGCCTTTTCCTTTTGGATTTGGAGCTGGCTATGAAATGATGCGCTAGCTAGCTCGTCATCGCCCGTCCCGCACCTTGCAAATAACCCTTCTCTCTCCATTTCAAAAAAAAAAAAACACTCTCAACTCCACGACCATATCATAATGCAAAAGGCTAAAATCCTTTTCTCAAACTACCACAATAGTTATGTTCGCAAAAAAAAAAAAACACAATAGTTCAACTTTCTACAATAAACTATACTAAAAAAACACAGACACCGGACACTCCCTAACTATCGAAATCATCGGACAAAGCATAACCCCCACTACACAATAGTTTTGTCCTGCTTTTCATCCCACGTGGCGCTTGCATGGATGGTTTTGACACGTCAGCTAATAGTATCAAAATTGAAGGTTGAAAATTGATCTGAAGTTGAAATCTAAACTTGTCAAAACCGCCTATTAATCGCTGAAATCTAGTTGGAGGTTGAAAACTAAACTTGGTATAAATATAAATGGACTTAAAAATACATTAGGAAAAAATAATATTTACATATAACAATATTCTGCCAAGCTAGCGTCTAGATTTCAAACTCTAACTATTATGAAAAGTTCAATTTTCAACCTTCAATTTTAAAATCAAGAGCTGACGTGGCAAAATCATCCTATGCGAAACAAACATTAGATGAAAACCACACTGCCATTATAATTGAGCGTTGAAAATGGACTATATACCCTAATATGGATGATTATCACAAATTCAAATCTTGGGATATTTAAGGTATACCTTCACCTATTCATGTGCCTAAAATTTCACAGACAACCACTCAATAGTGAACTGTAGCGGATTAGCAACGAAGCAATCAAGGCTTTACGATTTTGGACTAACGGATGGGGAGGGGGTGGAGACTTTGTGCCCCTTGGTTTACAAGGGCAATTTTGGTTGGAGGCCAGCCCGCCGAAGCGCCGAGGCATGAGTCGTGGAGGACTGTGGTCAAAGTTTTTTATGTGAACTCCCTGAAGATAAGGACTTGTTAAATCTTCCCCTCAATTGCTAGATATGGGCATGCATTCCAAGCTTGTTATCGACACTTGGTGCGGGTCTCTCTCTCCTAGCGCTTGGTTTTTCTCTCCTAGTGTCTGGTTTTCCTAACCTGGCACTCGGTTTTCAGTTTTTAGTAAGCTAGTATTGAAAAATATTAGAGAAAGACAAAAATAGAGAGCTCCTACTCTATTTCTTCGTTTTGAATGATTAACGATTTACCATGTGATTGTGTAGAAGCCCTTGGTGGGCAGGTGAGTCAGGGTGGTCATTCTCGGTGAATAGTTTCATAGCGTTGTTTCGAAGAATATAGAATGCAATGAAACATGGATGAAATAATCATTCTCGATGTATAGTTTCATTCTTTTTGTTTCATAGATATTTAATTCTATGACTCATTTAGAGTTGGAAACCGAGAGTTTCATCTACATGAAACTCACATCTTTTCTCTCTTCTTAGAATCGTTGTTATGTCATCAAAAATATTTATGTGATAGCCTATTAAATACATATAAAACCCGTAATGAAACTCCCATTGAAATTGGCCAACTCTCATATGGCACAAGGAACAAGAAAGAGTATTGCCCGATTGGGGTTGCGTATAAACTTGATTCCAGTTATTGATAGGAAAAGTAAAAGTTGATTTTTCGGACAGTCTAACTAAATTGGAGTTTATTCCTCGATCATTAATAACCGACGCTCGGCTTTAAGAAAAGGTGTCGACCCTGGACAGCACAAGGAGGGCGACGGTCCCATTCTCCACTTCACCCTCTAGCCGGTGGTAGCCACTGCTGCATCATCCTCTCCTCATCCATCTATCACTGTCGCCACCTTCTGTCGTTCCTTGTATACATAAGTCTAAAACTATAACTTTCTTCTTCTTTTTTTGAACTAAAACTACATCTTTTTTTCACGACCATATAATAAGAACAGTTTTACTATATCTTTTTCCAAAGACCCTACAACTAGCTGAACCTTCATCTAATCATCTTCATCTCACCACCACCAGTAGGCAACAACCTTGAGAGAACTCATATATATTTCTAATTTAAGCATACAGATGTTTTCCAACCGTTTGCTTACTTTCTCCCACAAATAATCTTAATTTTTCTAGGAAACCAAAAACAATCTTAGTTTCTCTGCAGCTAATTGGTGTTTCACTAGAACTATAGTACACTTGCATTATTACATATGTGTATGTGATATGTCTCTCATTTCTATAGATGTCTAATTATTTATTTATCGTAAACACCCTCCATGCATCCCTAGTGTTTAGTAGTGTCTTACTACCTCCTGCTAGCTACTAGCTCAGAGCTTAATTAATTAGCAGTTGTGCGCTAGTCTAAAATCGTTGAAACTAGCTGCCCCCTTGCTTTCTTCTCCTCCTCTCTCTCCCTCGTGGGGGCGGTGGTGCTGCTGCTGCTATTAGCTGCTGCTTGCTTCCATCCATACTACCACACTCATCATACTCAGTTACAAGATGCCCATGGCTCTCGAGTCATGGCTCACCGAGGTCCGCTCAGCCATGTCCTCTGCCAGGTCGTCCTCTGGAGGTTCGGGGGCGCCACCGGCCGGGCCCAGGACGAAGCAGAGCACCGTCGGCATCCTCGCCTTCGAGGTTGCCAGCCTCATGTCCAAGCTCCTCCACCTGTGGCGGGCCGTTGGTGACGCCGCCGTCGCACGCCTCCGCCACGAGACCATCCACCTCCACGGCGTCCGCAAGGTGGTCTCCGACGACGACCACCACTTCCTGCTCGGCCTCGCCCGCGCCGAGCTCGTGGACACGCTCAGGGCCGAGCTCGTGCACTACGTGGTGTATGAAAAATGAGATGCATGCATCATATCTGTCCACTCCATAGGAGGCACCTACCTGCACCGGCTGTAAACTGTTGCTCATGCGCTCAACCATTCATTCTTCACCCTTTTAGCTTACCGTATCCTGCAATCTCACCGGCTTGCAACTCAGCAACTGGCTGCTAAGCTAGTAATTTAATCCATCTGTCTGTGCTGTGCATATATATATGTATATATGTGTGAATAAAAAAGAATTGGCGAGTGATGGATCTGTTGAGGAATAAGCTAAGGCAGTAGCTTAGCTAGGGACACATGGGAGGGAGGCTTGGTTAGTTGACTCAATCATCATCATCATCATCATCTCAACGATTCCATCATCACATGCATTCCATCAGATGATGCATGCGGCCCTCAGATCCGATCCTCCTGCGAATGCCTGCCTGCTTCTTGCTCAGCAGCTACCTCTGCAATGCATGCATAATTTCGATGCAACATAATTCCTGGCCGTGTTCACACAGATTAATTGAGATCAACAGTCTTATTGTTCATTCTTCAGTACCAGCCAAACCTGTAGCTAAGCTGGCTCTTTCAACAACTACATGCATGCCATTCATCATCTCTATCATCTCATCGGAGAATTCCCAACTTAATTGTTTCCATCAGAATCTTTCTATTATTTATACTACATACATACTATCGAACTGCACTGCAGGTAATCCCATCTCTCTCTATCTCCCCTCTCTGAAACTCTGAATATTCTGAGTGTGTGTGTGTGTGTGTGTGTGTGTGTGATATTCAGAATTGCACATGTGTTGCATAGGTTTGAGGCGGAGGGTCCTTCCCCCTCACGTGCTTTTTCTTGTTGGTTGTGCTGGTTTGTGAGTTTAGTGGTAATCCTCGGATTACCGTTGGCTCACTTATACTGAAACTTCTACTTCTTCTTAATGAAATACGTGTTGATTAGGCACGGTCACGAAAGAAAAAAAAATCAGACCTCAACAGTCAACAGGAACCTTTCCCTCTTAACGCCATGTCACTGAAAACGCTACCTTATCTTACTAAAAGTGCATCATTATATCCAGGCACACGCATACATATATATAAGATATAGAGAGAAAGAGAAAGCCCACCTCTTTCAAGAGAAAAAAAAACTTTGTTATGAAGAAAATTAAAAGAAAACGATCGATGCATGCTGCTTTAATCATATTCATGATAAGGAGCAAACAAGCATGGCATCGGTGGTTACCCTTACGGTACCCCTCAACATCACTAATAAGACTCCCTAACCCGTACGTACGTGTGTCCCCCTACAGCTACAGACATATATATACACCATCTTCTTGCTTGGACCACTACTTGTATATACAGAGAGCATATATGTACGGATGTTAATAACTAGCTATTGAGCATAACCATCCATCACCGAGAATATGACAGCTAAGATCAGCCATATAAATAGTTTGCTTATTGATTTGGACTTCACTCGCACTAGCTCTGTAAATGGAACACAACCAAAATACAGGTGGTTAGCTCATACTCCTACTATATACTAGCAGGTCCCAACAGTATATATAGAGGACATGAAAATTGAACAGGCGTATATATAATAATTGTTTCTTATATTGTTTCGCATTATCACAATTGTTCAGCACCAAATTAACTGTCCCTCTCTATACCAGATTGAAATTGTGATTCGATCTAAAATGTATTAATAAAGAAAAGCTCTGCAACAAGTAGCAATAGATCAAAAACAAAATGCAACCGGTCATGATTGGCCAGAGGAACCTTTGACTTGAAAACACTCAACACATCATGAGCTCCAACGCATAATATATATATAGCATAGCATAGCATAGGAGGGACCTCCAAATAAATTCCAAAAGCAAGCTAGTCTACTTCTTTCTCAAAAGAGAGGCCTATATATATAGAGTAGATTTGGATTTTTGTTTTGGCAAAAGATTTGAATCCGCTTGTTGGAGTGCTTTTTAATTTATCTTTTGTGAAAAAAGGAAACACATGAGACATAACAAAGTCTAGGACGATACGTTATTCTACTTAGATCTACTACTAGGCCATACCTGAATGTAAAGAGCTAAAGAGACGCCTGATACAAATAAAAATTAAAAATAATTGATGTAACCAAGTAAAGCTAGTAACGAGATGCATATATGAATAAGGGTAAAGCCTAATTTACACCCTCCAACTTTCGCCAAAGCTCAGATTTCAATCTCGAACTTCAAAACCGGATAACTTTGGCCCTCCAACTCTTGAAACCGTTCAACTTTCAACTTTCTAGGCGGTTTTGTGTATGAACAGTAACTTTTGATATTTTTGGGAGACGCTGAAATTTTATATTATTTTTTTAAGCATCTTAACGTCCTCAAATAAAAAAACTCAAAACTACAAAGTTGTAGATCTCATTGAGAGCTACAACTTTGGTATAAAAAGTATTTTTATTTAACTCCATACAAATAATATATTAGTGCTCTAATGCGGCAAGCGCTAGTAGGCGATTATTATGGTGCTGAAATTTTATATTATTTTTTTCGAACATCTTACTGTCCTCAAACGAAAAAAATTAAAACTATAAAGTTGTAGATCTCATCGAGGTCTACAATTTACATATAAAAATTATCTTCATCTGACATCGTATTGAAGGGTTTTCTATTTTTTGAAATTTGAGTCTCATCACGCGACAAACAATTTCAAGAGTTACTGTTCATACGTCAAAACCGCCCAGAAGGTTGAAAGTTGAACGGTTTCAAGAGTTGGAGGGCCAAAGTTATCCGGTTTTGAAGTTCGAGGTTGAAATCCGGACTTTGGCGAAAGTTGGAGGGTGTAAATTGGACTTTACCCTATGAATAATAATCAATTAATATGTAGCTCAGCCTCAATTAATGGCTGAGCTGATGGAGCACCGAGCAACGTTATTTTCAAGCAGCAGGGTTAGCTGCTAGAATAGCTAGCTAATATGAAAGGTTGGCAGCATCAGATGTGGAAGGGGCAGATGACTGTGCATGACTATAACATGACCACAAACATGTTGGTTCCAAATGTTCCTATATATCCAGCACCAGCCGCTGGTAAATCAGTGTACCAAGTACTGATTGATCGTATATATAGGTTTTCTGAAGGGGAAAAAGAAATTAAAAAAGAAGAAGATCTACTAGGTCAAATGCATGATTTCTCAGAACTTTCCTCGCCGCTGTGTTAATTAATTTACTGTAAACAAAAAAAAAGAAACAACTTATGCTCGGAGCTTCGTTTTAATTAATCTGTCAAGGACAAGTGAACACATATCAGAGAGGACACTATCAGTATCAGCTGCTAGTTATTTCGCAGATACGCTAAGAATGATGTACTCATCGCGTACGTGCACATTTCTTGCTTTGGCACTTCATACTAAAATATAGTGTAGCATATGGCGTTCGCTTTATTCGACACACTCAAAACATTCCATGTATCTACCAGAGCATTGTGCCATTGTTTACCATACAATGTGTGGCTAAACTAAATCTGTGTGCTTACATACCCATACGATGGTGCTTATAGGATAATAAATTAATCAAACTCCGCATACTTTATCATGTAATGCAATGTAATTCATGTTCAATGGAATGTCAAACAATGCGCAAAGCAGCGCATTTGCTGCCAGATTCATCCACACATGAGGATGCAACCATCGACTAGAGGACAATTCACTGGCAAAATTTCACTAGTCTTGTCCACTCCACCCCAGCAGAAATGGTCATCACATCATAGGACAAACATTACAAAACCATTGGATCGGACTAGAGTAGCATTAAAAAAACATGGCATGTATTCGAAGCAGCAGTCGCACAAATTATTTGGATCACACAGCCAGATCAGATCATTCCCAGTAAAAGGAAAGAAAGAAAAATGCAGACAACATTCAGTTTATTTATTGTATAAAGAGTTGGCAGACTATATAGCAAAACTACAACCCCAAGGTTGGTGCCTGCCTGTTGCATTGGGGCGTGCTCGCCATGTTCCACCCTCATCAGTAACAAGCCTCCCTCAGCACTATCCCTCAAAACTTAATGGAACAAAACTATGACTCAGTTCAGTGCGATATCAACAGAGGAGCACCAAGCAATGCCTTCCCTGTTTTGGGCTAGTTAGCTTGCATCCTTCTTTTGTTTCCCCTTTCTTCCATTATGTGCCCTTTGTCAAAGGTGTCTTATGCAGTTAGGGGATGGCCCCAGGATTCAGTCCTTGTCCGATCATGTTGAACCCACCTCTGGAGCTGACCAAAGTTTCACCTTTTTGTCCAAACCAGCAGTCCCCAAAATAAACACAGGCACGCCACCTAAAGAAAACAACAGCAGCGTGGTTAAGACATCATAAAACGCATGACCCCTCAGAAGAATGGTGTTCTTCCGAATAAAGGATACATGATATTAAAGTTCCATCAACTCCAAATAGAAAATTCATTAGCTACTTATCGGTACAACAGAACCACCATGAGTACAATTAGCATGGCGTACTTTGCAGTCAAGTCATCTAGGACAAACCAAACATCATTTTTTGTTAAATCAAGTGCTAGCCTAAATAAATGTGTTTACAAAATGTTGTGTTAAAAATTAATGCAGACTGCAAAGGTTCAGATCATTGGTAGTTTCTAACAATGACTGTAAGTCTGTAATAGACAGTTCGTTGACAGGATTTGCAGAGATCTCCTTACCATTGGGAATTTTGCGTGGAGCCCACGCAATGAGGCCCTGTTTGCTGGTCTGAAACTTGGCTAAAAAACATTGTTCCGGCTGGTTTGTTGTGAGAGAAAAACATTGTTTGGCTGGTTTGGTGAACAGTAACTTGAGAGTGGGGATCAGCCGGCTGGCTGAAAATTTCAGACCAGCGAACAACCCATGCAATCTGTCATACACTATCAACATCAAACATCAGGGTCAATCAAAAAGCAGGCTAAAACACTTCAGAGCCAGGAATGGTGCTAGTTGGAGGGACTCGCAAGGGCCATGGCCCCATCGTGCTTCAAATTTGTTTCAATTGGAG